AGAAGGTGGTGAAGGGAATGGTTCTTGTTTTCCCCAGTCCTACTCAGTCTCCTCGAGGTGAAGGCAATAGCAGCTTCAAGCATTTGCTCTTGGGGAATGACTGTAGATTATGATACGTGACAGCAGCTCGTACAGGACTGGGACTGGTCTGGCAGTTCCCCAGTGTTTCCATTCCTTCTCATTCTGCTTGCATGGAGGTTGTAGCTAAAACTAATAAAGCAAAAAGAACAAAAAAGCTACTTCTAGACCATACCAGATTCCCAGTCCACTTTGCTTTGCCACCTAATCCCACTGACTTTCTGCCTCAATAAGGGAAGAGAGACCAAGGCATAAAGAAAGGAAAAGATGACTTATTTTATTGGCACTGCTGCCTTACTGTAGCGTAAACCATGTGAAGTGCTGGCCTGGTGTGCTGTATACTCAGTTTGTAGCAAAACCTGCCACTTCGGGGGTTAAACTTTTCAGAATACCCGATAGAAGTCAGTAATTTGTTTCTTTCCCTACTCTTAGCAAAGCTTTATCTTTTCTTTTGTGGTTTTCCTTTCATTTGGTAACCCTTGTATTTTTATAAGAAACAAAGTCTTGCAGAATACTGTTCCCTATGCATACTCAGGTTTTTTTGCATAACCACTAAAAGTTAGTGAAAATAACAGTGGGTGATCTCTTGCTGACATTCTCTGCCCTCTCTGAATCTGTATGATTCAGTTTCCTCTCCCATTTCCTTGTTTCAGTGCCATGACTTCTGAGTTTCCTCTTTCCTCTTCTTATCAAGGTTGTGCTACTAAGAAAAAAAGTCATACTGAGAGTGCTTGAAAGACTCTACAGTTGGGCCAATATACCAGTTTCTTTTCTTCCATTTTGCTGTTCTCTGTGCTGATTCTTCAAAAGCTCATTCAATCTTTCTCTCCTTCTGTCTTTCTCCATTCTCTTCCTTTTTATATCCTGCTTCTCACCACTTTTCTTTCTCTTTCCGCTGCCCTGTTTTTCATCTCTTGACATTTTTGTGTACCTTTGCTAAGCATATTCTACTTTCATATCTCCTGTTCCTTTTGAAATGCTTGAAATCCTCTTCCTATGTTGATTTGTTGTTTTGCTATCTGTTGTACCTTTCAATGCCATCCTTGGTATGTTTGGTAGTAAATGTAGTGCTGGTTTTTCATGTTTTGTATTTGGTAGCAGTTTTCTCTTCGCTTCCATTTCCTCCTTTCTGATGTCTTCTCATGCACTTTCTGATCTGTCAGTTCTCTTCAGTGTCTTCCCTTCGGAACAGTGTTTGTAGAAGAGAGTGGTTGTCCTGTCTGTGTCCCCACCCCCCTAGTTTCTTCCAGGAGTTTGGAGTATATCCTTTCCTTGGTAGTTTCCTCTTAGGTCCTTAACTGCAACAGTTCTGCTGTGCCTTCTCTTGTGTACTTTGTTGGGTTTTTTTGTCTTGGGCAAATGAGTAGAGAATGAGATGGGCACTTGACATGGGATTGAAATGTCAGAACACAATGGTGTTTGTATCTCAACCATTCACCCAAGACAAGGCTTGGCAAACCAGCCTTGAATCAACCTGTGTAGGATGTCTGTGTCTACCAGTGAGCAATCAACCAGGAGATCAGTTCTGCTGATTCTCCAGTCTTCCACTTTTTTTCAACAAACTTTTAAGATCCTCATAGCCTTATCCAACCTGCAGATAACCTTTTGCTATCACTGCTGTTTCCTCAGAAGTTCTTTGGCTTTTCATGTGTTGAGCTCAATCTCTTCGTTTAAACTCTATATTAAATAGTGATGGATCATTTAGTTTAGCAAAAAAAAAAAATCTTTTTGAAGCAGTCATTTCAGAATGTAATTTTTACAATGTGTTTCTTAAAGTTTTTCATGGGACATTGAAACAACTTTTGTATTGATGTAAAATGTATTTTAAAAATAATTTAAACTTCCTTTGCATAATTTTATAGTTTAGCATTATTCTCTGATCAATATTGATTTCAGTGTATTTTAGTGTTTAACTGGTTCGCTACCCTCCATGCAAGTCCTATAAATAGGCATGATAACTGTGCCTTGATTTATTTCTTTTTTCTCCCCCAGCCCCTAGCTTTACCCTTGATAGCATTAAAGTGTCTACTCTGTCTGGTTTAACTTCTTGCAGAGACAGGGTATTGAATTATACAAGTACTTGGTTTTTGTAGGGTGCTGCTTATTCATGTAAGCTATAGCAATAGGAAAATTTATTTTAGTAATCTGTGGAATTCAAAGGTTGGTGGGAATCAACATCGTTTGTAGGCAGCTTTTGAAAAGCTGGTAATTTCTCCCACCCTTCCAAAGGAGGGGGGAGGGACATCTAAAACCCAAACCCTTATAGTTATGAAGATTACGTCGTGACTGAAAACTACTGCAGTGTTGCCTTCCTGAAGCTGTAGACAGCTCCAGAATGCTCAGTTCTTACATGTCTGGTTTTTTCCAATCAGCAGCAACCTGAGTTAAGCAAAACTGCTTGGTGGATCTCAGCTGGCTGCACTGAAGCCAGTAAGAGTCATATTGTACACTTGGAGCTGGCACTGCAGGTATTTGTTAGGAGAAATTCAGCAGGATGCTTTGTGATTACTTCCCAGCTTGTACAGAAAGGAGGAGAGGTTGAGTGGCCTTTTATACAGGGGCATCATATACTTTTAAACCAAGGCATTGAGACAGAATTACTGACCATTAGTGATCATCAGCACACATCTGTGAGTTGTTAGTAGAACTAAGGTGTTCTCAAAAGTGTGTTCACTGTTTGACTTGTGTTCTGTTCAGCTCACATAAAGGACTGACACCTTTTACTCGAGTGTCAGGATGAAAGGTGTAACAAGCAATTACAAACTTTTTTAATTAATCTGGTACTTTTTGTAGAGCGTTAGAGAATACATGGAGTATATTACAATACTACATTCACAGGGGCATCATAATGTAAACTGTATAGATTTGTGTGTGTATAATAATGAGAACAATTCTAGTCCCTGACTAAGTTCTCCTGTCCATACTAGTAATTCTAATTATAAGAATAAATCCAGAGCAGTTACATGAAGAGATATACTTAATCCCTTAGGAAATGGTTGCTTGTTCGGAAATTCTCTTATGCTAAATTTACATATTGAGTAGGTTTTGTTATGTTTATGTTCGGGCAAGAAACTGATAGTGGTATGATAAGACATTTCCAGCAGCTCTCAAAATTGGTTCTTTATAGAAAATTCCCCCATTTTTATTAATATTTGTTTTCTAATTTTCTAGCACAACAGCTCTTTGCTCCAGTGATGGAGAAGATCAATTAGATGATTTCCAGGGCAGAGCAGCGTTATGATTTACAGCATGAATGATGTGAGGCACAAAGCTGCCATTCTGCATGAATGAGCTCTGCAGCACCTGTCTTAGAAGCAGAATTTTCTAACTTCACTTGGCTCACTGCCCATAGCTAGATACTTAAAAACCAAAACAAAACACCCCCGCTTCTTTCTAGAATTATTGCAGACTTTGCTAATGTGTGTGTGTTTCTGTGTGTACATATATGAGCTCTCATACCTTTTCCACACCCTTTCTAATATTTATTTGGATTCTTTAAAGAAAGGCAGAACTAAAGGTCTTTTGAAGACCTGTGTTCTTATTATTGATAGCCTTTCTTGGGGGTATAAGAACAGTTTTGTGGGATAACTTACTGCCATAAATACAAGCTATATGACTGAGTGTGAGGACCAAACTTCACTCTTGGTCAATGTGAGTATCCTTAAAACCACATATGATAAAAATCCTTGTCAGAAAATATACAGACAATGATCTGCTCCAGTAAGTATTACACAGTGTTAATTTTGTGGGATGTTTGGTCACCTTTTATCAGAAGAATGACCTTTATATTTGAATGCTCTTTTATGTGGCACACTATGTAGGGAAGTTAAAACAAAATAAATTTTCAGAAAATAAGAAAAATGAAAAATTATATCTGGGAGTGCATGAGAGAATAGAGAGGAAAATGTGCCTTTATGACTCTCTTACAGGTCCAGAACTTCCTGTATGAATTTGTGGTCACCTAATTTTTTCTTTCCATAACATAAATGTCTTCAGTCTGTTGTGAAGACAGCTCAGTAAGCACTTGCCACCAGATAGGTCATTGGTGAGAGGGTAGGGACAGTGCTGACTAATCAGAGTTCTTGTTGGCTGTATGAACTCCTCTTAGATCTCTTAAACTTACTTTTTTTCTTATATAGCATTTCTTTAAATTCTGTTACAACTTTACGTATGACAGCCCATCTTTTGCAATGAAAGTATTGAGAAATAACTATTTGCATAAATTACCTGTCTTTTCTTTTAAAAATTATCTTTCGTGACTGAGTAGCGCTTTTTTTTTTCCCCCTTTATTAATAACTCCTTTGGTGATGGTGGCTGCCTGGTTTGTTACTCAGAGTTCACACTTTTTTCGATTCACTGTGACTCTTGCCTTTGAAGTTCACAGGAAAACAATGGCAGCTCCAGTTCTGTCTTTTTTCCTGGCTGTAGTGTCATGTGCAGCCGTTCTGTTCTGGCTTTTCCTTTAACAGAGGTAGGCAACACATTCATCTGTCACTGGTGGAATTGCAGGGGGTTTTTTGCCAAACATTTGTAGGTTCAAGCCATGTAGTGCTGCCTCTGTTACCCATTCATGTGCAGTATTTCCGTGTGGTCATCTTCAGACTTGTTGGAATTCTTACTACTATGATCTAAATTGTGTGACCTCTGGGTTTCCTTTTATCAAGTTCACCCTTCTTTGTAACAAATAAGAACAAAAGTTAAACCCTCTTTATCCACAGAATTAATGTGGTTTCTGAAAAACTGCAAGCTGTAAACACATTTGTGATTTGGTGCTGATTTTCTGATCTTGTTCAGGATGTGAGTTTGAAGTCATCATATGAGGTGAACATGCATCATAGTGATCAAGGTTATGTTCTCTTTAGCATAAGATACATTCGCTCCTACTTTATACCTCTGATTATTACATGACTTTTTTTTTGTAGATAAATTGACATGATGTGGAGCAACAAGTCAAATGAGGTGCCTTTACAAAATCCAAGGCATAATCAAACTAAGGATTCTACCAGAGGTATGGATTTTCTCTGTTTTATTGCCTTGTTTTGGAAGACGTTTTATCATGAGTTGTTTGAAACTTTGGGGAGGTTTTATAGTAAGCATTCTGCTGTCTCAATTTGGAAGCTAAGACCATGTGTTACGTGGCTTCCTTTTTGCAGAGATAGCAGTTTCATACTCTGATCTGCAGAGTATTTGCTGATCTGCATTAGGAATTGCCAGCCTATGATATGGTTGCCAAGATGGCACAGAGACAGATTTTCTTGAGTGCTGTAGAGGAGGAGCAGCGCAGGAACAGAAATGGGTAACTGTAGGCTCTGGAAAGAAGTGAAGAAGAGCCTGAGAGGCAGTTGCTCCCGACTCTTGCTCAGTTCCAAAGTGGTGGAGAGCTAGACGCTTGAATAGCAGCAGTATACTGCCACCAAGATGACTTGCAGCACTTCTGTCTCCCTGAACTGGAGAAATCCTGTTAGCTTTTACTGTCATGATTACTCTGTAATTTAGGAAGGGAGGGGGGAAAAAAAAAATAAAATTACAGTACATCTGTGAGAGGAAGAAAGCTCTAGTCTACAGAGCAGCTGAGTTGGGTGTTAAGTCTGTGGTTCAAGATCAGTCTTATGATCTCCACTATGACAAAACCGGACTCTAGAAGTTATTTTGAAAGTGGAGACAGATCATTATTTTATCTGTAAGAGGACGTTATTGCTGATTGTGTCCTGCGGTATGTTCTGTTTCTTTTAAAATTACGTACCGTGTGAAACTGAGGTGTTCTGTAGACATGAAGCACCATCTCTTGAAGTCAAAGCAAAGCTGTTTCTATGCTACTTCCTTAACCCTCTTCCTTTGTGTTGTTGCATCTTACCTGAAATGAAATTGGCAGCTTTTTTACTACAAGGAAAAGGTTTTAATTTTTTTCCAAACTCTCTAATACTGCTACTCTCCATGGTTCTGATGCACATTGAGGTTTTGGATGTTGCATTGTGTAAACCATTAGATTAGAAGACCATTAGAAACCAAAAGAAGAGGGCAACTGAGGAAGTAGATGTTTTTAGAGGAAAATACTACTGCATCCTACTGAACTGGATTGCACATAGACCATGTGATACCTGTTTAGATTAAAAGGCTGAAGTTGATTAGTGCCTCTTGCTTGTTCTTCACAAATATTGCTTCTATTTTTTTTGTAGGGTGTACAGTTCAAAAAGATTACTATTCAAAATTCACATGTTCAAAGCTTGGGTTTTGAGTAGAGTGTTTCAGTGACCATGTATTCCTGCTTAGTTTAATGAAGAAGAAAATGGGGGGGAGGGGGGGGAGTAGTTAAACTATAGTGTAATGGAAAAATCTAAGATATTTGTGTTGGGGTAGATAACCAGCTTTATTTTATCTTCTAAACATCTTCCATAATGTGTGGTAGATTTGATTTCAAGTGTAATAATGCATTCAGCCTAACTTAGTGAACTCATTAAATTTTACATTAAATACTTTATTGCTCTGTTAAGATGAGTCTTGACTGATAACAGCCTCTCATAGAGGAGATTTACAGGCTGGAACTGAGTCATTGAAAGAACTTGATTAGCAAGCCCATGAAAATTGTTTTGAAGCAACATTTTATTTCCATGTTTTCCATGTAATCAGAAATCTATTTCTTTGTTTCTGCTCTGTAAGATCTAACTGCAGCATGGGCTACTTTTTCTCAGACTAAGGCTGCTGTAAGTACTGATTTTCTTCTTTTTCTTTTTTTTTTCCTTACTCCTTTTCAAATCAGTTAATGGCTACAAAAGCTTTAACCAAAGTATTATTTTGCTCAGTGATTGTCTGTTCAACAAGTTGAAAATAGGGCAAGCAGTTGGAGTACATGCATGTTGAACATTGTTGTATCTTGGAAAAAGTTTTCGACAGACAGTAGAAGAAATTTTTGCCCCAGCAAGGTTAGTCTTGAGTATAGTAATACATGCTAAGTCTTGAGTGTAATATGACCTTTCTGTTTAAGAAAGTGGTGACTTATAATTTTCTTGAAAACTTGAAAAAATAGCTCTCCCTGCTTGCCCGATCCAGTCAGAAACTGGGACAACACCATTGTATTTCATATTTTTAATCTTTGAGCATCGGAATTGCTGTCGTTCTGTGGGAACTTAACTTAGGTGCTTAAGATATCACACTAGTTTCTAAAACCTGGCTTCAGTGAAGCCAAACAGCTTTGTGTTTTGGGGAATTCAGCTCTTTCCCGTAGCCTTGTCCCTCTCTTTTTTTAATAGCTGAGCATCAGTGTAGGGTTTTACATGTGGAATCTTGTATCATGCTCCATTTTGGACAGAGTATTAGAGAATTTATTCCAAGTGGAATTAATATTTCATTCAGGCCAAGCATTAAGACTCTGAATGGCATGTTGTTACTAATTTTTTCACAACAGCCTACTTATGGAAACAAAACTATACAACAAAACCTAATTTAGATAATCTTTTTAAACAGAACTTAATATGTAGTTTCTGGCCATAAGGCTATACAGTTTTCCAACATCAGCCTTGTGGAGTTGCTTTTGCCTGCAGTTTTATTCTTTATGAAAATGTGGAAAAATTTGTTATGTTAGGGGGAAAAAATGTAGCTTAAAAATTGGAAACAATATTCTAATTTGCATTATCTTTGAATTCTAGCTACGTCATATAGAGAACAAATTGGAAATAGCTCCTACCAGCGCGGCTGTATTTGATTCTGTCATGGATGCCAAGAAGCCCTCTGCTAGTGCTAGCAGGAAAATAAGCAGAAAGGGTATGTATTATTGAGGACATAGCGTGTAAGACAGCGTAAAGCCACTGCATTCTGGGAAAACTTGATTTCTCCTCCCTCTCCCTAAGTTGCCTCCTGTTAATGATCTTTATTCATGAAACTCTAATTGCCCAGGAGAAACTAATGTTTGCTTCACTTAGCTTAGGAAGGAAAGTGTGCTATCATAGTCACTTGGTTAGAGAGAGTGACAGGACTTTCCCCACGCTGTGAGTGAGCAGTGCTTATCCCATTTTGATACCCTGTTTTTGTGGGTGTTAACGATTTTATATGCCTATGTTTACACTGGAGTAGCTGTTTATATTTTTTTAATGTTTGTCAACTGTTACACCCTGATAGAATGCTAAATCTGATGCTTCCTTTATTTCATGTAAGGAGAACGTTTGCTTATAAGAAATAAGCCCTCGTTTTACATACTAACTTTTCAGAGCATTCTGGTAGTGTGCTACTGGAGAAGAACAGACAGATCGACCTCTAGTGGCAACATAGTCAACTTTCACAGATTTAATTACTTATAATTAATGTTTAAGTATTATTATCTCTCTTTAAATATGATCATTGTTTCAAGCACTTACCACCTTGCTCCTAGTTGTTGAAATCAGCTTGTTGAAAAAGAGAGGGACTTTAAATGCTATTTGGAGTGCTGCTCAAACCAAAGGAAAAACTGTGTTCTTAATTGTTCAGCCCCAAGAGCTTTCTCTTTCTGGAGAGATAGGTACATAGAGGATTCTTTGGTTTCTGCTTCAGCTTCCCGGTCCTCCAGCCAAAATAAATCAAGCAAGGAGAAGGCCTCACGCAGCCCTCTTCGAGCAACCACTCTTGAAAGCAATGTGAAAAAAAGCAATCGTGTGGAATTTCGTGAACCATTGGCTTCATACAGGTTAGTGCTGGGACAGTTGATTATTAAAGAAAAATATGCTAGGATAAGAATTAAGCTAATAGTGATATTTTTGACAGCTCCTCAAAAATTGATTTGCTTCCTTCCCTCACCCACTGTCCTGGTTTAGGCTGGAATAAAGTTAATTTTCTTCTTAGTAGCTGGTATAGTGCTGTGTTTTGGATTTAGAATGAGAATAATGTTGATAACACACTGATGTTTTAGTTGTTGCTAAGCAGTGTTTATACTAAAGTCAAGGACTTTTCAGCTTTTTATATTGCCCTGCCAGCAGAGGCTGGGAGTGCATGAGAAAAACTGGGAGGGGACACAGCAAGGACAGCTGACCCAAATGAACCAAAGGGGTATTCCATACCATATTATGTCATACCCAGTATATAAACTGGGGGAAGTTGGCTGGGGAGCACTGTGGCTCAGCAATTGGCTAGACATCGGTCAGCGGGTGGTGAGCAATTGTATTGTGCATCACTTTTGTATATTCTCTTAGTAGTAGTAGTAGTAGTATTTTCCCTTCCATTTCTGTTAAACTGTCTTTATCTCAACCCATCAGTTTTACTTTCTGGCCCCTCCACCCCGGATTCTCTCCCCCATCCCACTGTGTGTGTGTGGGAGTGAACAAGCGAGTGTCTGTGTGGTTAGTTGCTGGCTGGGGATAAACCATGACACCCACCAGTGTTGGACAAAAGTGTCTTCCTTTTTAAAAAATGTTACAAATTTTATTTTTTGTTCAGTAAATGAGAGTTTAAAGTCAAATGTATGGAAATGGGGCCAGATCATCAAGTTGATGTGGCTGTGGCCTCAGTGGCCCAATAGGTTTGATAGGTATTTAGTTTTAGTAATAAGGACCAAAAAGAGTATTTCCTAAGCTTTTCCAACTTTGTTTTCATTAGTTCTTCAGCACACGTTCCCAAATGTATTACCATAAGACAGCGTAGACCAAGAACATCTAGTACTGAAGATGCATTTAGTTTTTGTGTGTGTGAGAAACCCAAATAAGAACAGCTGTATCAAGGAGAAAAAGTGGCACAGAATATTGCAGGCCATAGAACATGGTGGGGTGTGAGGAATGAAGGAAAATACGGAAAGCCTGTTTTTTTCTAGCCACGTTAAGTACTGTAGTGAATATAAGATGCCTCAAAAGCTTTCAAAAAGACAGACAACCTGCAGCAGAAATAAACTAGTTATAACTTGCTGTAGTATCAGGGCCTAGAAGACTTTTACCATAACTTCTTTGATTCCCTGCGTTTTATAAGCAGTGTGTGTTCTTTGCACAGGTATCCCCGATGAATAGCTTGGTTGGGTTGGTAATAGTTTTTTATTGGATTCTAACACATACTTTGCATTTTTTTTCTAAATGTTCTCCCAGTGAAATCAAATTGCTGTTGACTGATTGGAGTGGAGTTGGGACAGTGGTATTTTTTTTTAATTCCACTACATCTCTATTAATAACTGTTATCCTAACATCTGAGTTATGGTCTCCTTTTCCATTTCTTGTGTCAGCTGTGAGGTTCTCCTCCTTCCTTGTTGCGTGGGAGGCTGATTTGGATCGGTTGTGTAATCTTGGGTCAGTTTTGTTAACTGAACAGGTCTGGTGTCTGCCCTATTTGGAGTAACTTACTTACATCAGTTACTTTTTTTAAAAAACTTAGTAAATTTAACAGGCTTCAGGGAGAGGAAGAAAATGAGAGCAGCTAGATTCATGCCATTATATCCAATTGAAAAGAATAGCTTTCTTACAATAAAACGACTGTGTGGCATTGGGGGGATTAATTTGGTGATTAACACCAGAGCTGCTATGTTAACACATTACTCCTCTGAGAACAGCCTGTAGTCAATGCTTAAAGTGTGCATAGGAAAACAAACCCAGAATAATGGGTAGAACAATCTGTGTGTGTGTATATTTATATACACTTTTGGTGAAATTCTGTGCAATTAAATCACTCAACTTTTATGTTGATTGGTAATGATTGCTACACTATTTAACAGGAGTGTGCTACTAGAGAAAGAGAGGTAGACAATTTCACAAGTACAATGTTATGACCTGCCTTAAATGAGTTCTTTAAACATACTTGCTGAAGAAGCAAGCCAGGTAGCTTAGGTGCTGGATTTTCACATCTTCAGCCCCTCATCAGTAAAAATATTAAATACATTTTTGTCCTATCAACTTATGTACCATGAGTGTATTCAAATATAGAGTCTGCTTTTCTGTGAAAAATTGCTAAGAGATCCTTAGTTTGTGGAATTTCTAAGCTCTCGGTAAGCTCTACATTTGTTGCAATACAGGCAGTTCACTCTGAAGTTCTTGTCAGGGGTTTGCCTTTTTAATGCTCACACACAGGGCAGGGGTTTTTGGTGCAATTTATTTGTCTTCTCAGCTAATGAATGTGCTGTTGAGGAGCTGTGCATGTGTGCATAGCTTTATTTTAGAGAACATAGATTAATTATTCTTCTAAAGTTTTACATTTGGTTTTTATTTAAAGCTTTTTTAATTTGAAGGGCGACATTACGGCTTGCTGATTTTCTACATGCCCTAATTTTAGCTCTTCAACTTTATATATAGTCCTGTTCAGACAGAGAGTGCAGAAAATGAAATTTTGAACAGAAACCTCTTTCAGTTTTGTCAGACTTGCACTATTGAATGTGTGGTGATCAAACTTTAAAAGAACTTGCCTTTTAAGTAGAGAGAAGGTATAGGAAGTAATTCTTTTAGTTAATGAACATGCTGATTGCTGGGTTGGAACATCCTAAAGTTGTATTTCTGATGGTGACTTTTTTTTTTCCTTCTATTACATCAGGGATACATATAGTTCTCTGTCTTATCACAGTTCTGGCCAACTTGAGGCCAAGCAACTGCTCTCTAGTTTGGACTTCAGCGAAGCAGAAGGGAAGACTGAAATAACAGGCCGTATGAGTATGATATGTGACCGAGATGAGCACGATCTGCACAGCAGAGATTTTGAAAGTCCATGTTGTTCTGCTGCAGATGAGACTGTTGTTAGGTATTTGAATGACCGGCCAGCAATTGATGCCTTGCAGAATGAGGCATTTCTTAAGGTTGCAGCACCTCCAAGACTGGAAGAGGAAAAAAACAGTGGCTGCAGAGGAGATGAAAGTAGCACTAGAACTCCTCAGAGTAACACATCCCAGGACAGTGAACTGAAAGTGTCTTCACCTTCTGCCACAAGTACTTCTAGTGCTCATAGGCTGGAAATCTTGAAACGGCGGCAGCATGATGCTAAGTTGGAGAAGCTGAAAGAGCGGATTCGAAAGCAGTGGGAGCATTCTGAAGAGCTAGGTGGCAGAGGGCAGCACTCGGGATATGCTGAGCAACCTGTCGTGATCACAAACGTGGAGAATGCAGTGACTCCCAAAGTCAGGAAAGTGGCAGCTGCACCTGCTGCTCCATCATACAGAGGTATGAAGGGGCAGATCCCTCCCTGTTGGTTATATGTGGTGAAGGAGCGGAGTTCAATTCATTGAGCAATATGTCAAAGCGTGGATGTGACTCATAGCTGTGTTTGGGCAATAGGGGAGTGGATAGCGTGGTTTGATCACAGATACAGATAAGAAAGAAAAGAAATTATTGCCAGTTTACAGAAGTGTGGATTCTCTTGAAAGTCTTCCTGTCTCTTCATACAAATTACTAAAAAAAAGAAGCTTGCTGTGTTAGTGTTTGGGTTTATTTCAGTGTGGTTTTTTTATGGTCCCAGAGTTCAGTAACATTGTATTGATTGAGAAAGCCTTTCATGTTTTTAATAATCTGCTCTTCACCCAGTCTGCTGTTTTTCAACTGTGAGCAAGTAGCAGACTGGTATATTGCTTTCTTCTAACTTAGCATTAGAAGTACAAGTAGTTCCTTTCTTACTTGGTGGTTTCCTACCTCTTCCACTCTGAAAAAGCTTTATTTACATTTTATGCAGTTATTTTAAACTCTTAAATTGTTTACTTTCAGGTTTCAATCCTGCTGAAACAAAGATTCGCACTCCAGATGGGAAGATCTGGCATGAGGAAGAATTTCACATTAGTCGGGAGCTGTATAGAGATATAGCACTCCAGTTAACAGGTGAGGCACAAACTGGATTGGTGAGGTCACACAACCTTCTCTAAGAGGCAGAGAAATATATTTTGTACAAGTCTACAAAGTCATGGAAACAAAAAATTGAAGCAGTGTTAAATATACTGTACTTCTTTCCACAGGAGGAGTAACTTGTTGAACACTAAAACAAATAAACAAATCCTTCTCCCCATTCTCTCATTAAAATACTTTTAATGGAAAACCAGTACTGAGAAGAATCAAATGATGGCTTTTCTTTCAAACAAGAAAAAAAAAAGTCTTTGCTAGAACAATTTTTGTTTAATTTTGTGACTTCTTTATACATGTTCACACGAGTGAATGAATTAAAAGGACAAAACCAAACCACTTTTTGTTTTGTTGAAACCTGTATTATCTCATGAGAACAATTTAGACCGTGGGGGGTTTTTTTGCCATTTTTAACATCATGAAAGTGATATGTGCACCATATACAGTATGTTGAAGCCTGAATTCTACTTCCTTCAATATGGTGTTAACAAACACAAAAGTTGGTCTTGAAGCTGCTGTGGGAATTGTTAGTGGTTTAGTTGGAACATATAGGTAGCTGAAGGGGAGATGGGGGATATCTGCTGTGTAAAGTCTCTGGGAATACTTATTTAAAATGGAGTAGGTAGCCCGCAGTAAAAGGGTATGCCTCCAGCTATGTGTGGTGGTGAGATTATATGGCATTAGGTTGGTTTACTATCTCTGAACTTGTAGAACTTTATTGCTTTATATCAGAATAATCCAAGTCTTGAAGTTCTTGAAGAAATTTGTGTCCCAGAGATTTGTACACACGGACTTTTTTAGAGGTCTTCCCTGGACTCCCTGAGGAGGGGGAGAACAGGTAGACCAGAAGAAGATTCAAGAAACCTTTTAAACAATCTAGATTTTATTTCCTCTACAACTCTTTCACCTTCAGTATTAGAAGGCTTGCATAGGATATGGGAAGGGAGACTGTGTACTTTGCAGTGGTAAATTAACAGAACATTACCCCACATGAAGGAGTAGGAGGGAATACTGAATGCTAAAAGCTTAGAAAACTGTTACTCATTCCTCTTGGCTTAATGGTCTTTTGAAAAACATTAAATATTGTTGTTGCAAAATGGCAATACAGGAAAAAAGATATTTTGTAGGTGATGAGCTTGTTTAGCAACACAGTATTCTGATGCTTAAAACTATGAGCCAAGATGATAAAAAAAAATGCTGTGCATTTGCTTGACAGTTATGCTGCTAAAAGACCAAAACAATAATACATGCTTTATGTTTTCAAATGGACTGCTCCAAGACCCAGTCTTTATTAATTTTTCACTCTGGAAAACTGCAGTACCATTGGCAGGACTTTTCTCTGGGTGATTTAGGGTAGGATGCCCAAGTGTGCTTTTTGATTTGCTAGGCTGGTTACAGTGGAGTGCTGTAAGGTTGAATTGCTTTCGACTCACTGAGTTGGGATGGGGGGGAAGAGATCAGATGAATAAAAAGGAAGAGAACGGAAAATAAAATCCCCTCAGAACCTAGGTTTGCAGCTTAAGAGTTTGCGTATTAAAAATAACTTTTCTCATTGGTCAAAACATTTAAGACCAGAGGAAAATGTGTTGAGATTGTAAACCTGTAGGTGTTTTTGTATGTTGATAATACAGTGGCTGGTACGGAAATTACTAGACTTCAGTTTTCTTTTGCTTGTACAGCTTGACAAGGCAGTGAGGAATTTTTCTGGAATCACTCATAAAAAAGGTTCAGAAAGAAGAGCCACTTCTTTTCAGTAAAATTGTTTTGCAAATACTCTATTCAGCATCAGTCCATGAAAGTAATGCCAAATTTCTAAAGGCTTTTAATCTATGCTAGCGTTTATTTTTTTAGTTTTGACAAGCATAATATAAATGATTCATATGCTTTTTATAGAAATCCAAATTTTTTTAAAGTTTTGTTGAAGAGGTCCACTTAAAAAGATGTTTGGATCATGTGTTCACTGGACTTCTGTCTACAAAAGGAAGGATCTGTGTGTGTGTTCACCCATAGTCCTGTCCTGATGCCATGTGTAGAACAGCTGTCGTGGAACGTGTCTCCTTTCTGACCTGAAAAGATTATATTGAATAGCTGATTCCAAGTAATCAAATGCTGGTGCTGCACATAATATATACTATAAATGTATTTTTAGGTTGTTGGATTATTTATCCATGTGTTAATTCTGTATTAAAGTTACAGCATGTGGAGTTTTTCGTGTGTACAATCAATTGTATCAAAACTGTTCCATGCTCTCTAGTACTGAAATAAGCAGTAAGATCTCTAATATCTACAGAAGTATTGTTCTTTACTGCAACAAGATTTTTACACGTAAGTGTAGACCATCAAGAACGTCTTTGTTTTCGTTTAGCAATTAGGCTAAAGGATATTGTATGGACCCCAAGCTTCCAGTAATTTGGGCTTAAAGATGGTCAGGATTTGCTGTACTAGAACAAAATTGCTGTAATATGAATAGAGTGAGTGGGAAGCAGCCTGCAGTTTCCTGATATCAGGAAGGAACTGTTTGTCACTGAAAGAGGTGAGGAGGCAAGCTAGATATCTGCAAATGCTGTCACTGAGGCCTCTGGTACTTGATGCATTGATTCTGTCTTCCCTGCGCTGCTTGTCAGCCTCAAAGACGACTGGAAAATATTTAAGGAAAGGATATTAAGAGGGAGAAAGACTCTTAAAATTCCATTCCCACATCCTTTAATATGACCTGTTGTTCTGTCTCTGATGCTTCCTATGGGCACCCATCAGAGAGTAGATTCAGCTGAAATTAGGGGCTGTAAAAGTTAGTATTGACATCTAAATAAAGTTTCAGATCTATCCATGGAGAGGGTTGCATCCTGGTTGTTTTAGGTTGTCTGATCACATTCTTTATAGAAGAGGAACAAGAAAACAGTGGTAATAGTGGCCATGGAGTTCCTTATCTACAGTTCACTTTTGGGATTAAGAAATGAGCACCCTTGAGGCATGTAAAGTGCTTTAACAAATCTTTGAAAATGTCCAGTGTAGACTGCTGAGACTATACAGCTTGCCTGTCCCTTCTTGAACAATGCTTGTCTCTTTGTACCTTAGGCAGCTGGGAAGCCCACTCAGTGGGGTGGTGATTGAGTCACATCTCAGGTTTTCTTTTTGTTCTTTGCCCTAATTTGAAAACATGGTAAAATATGACTTTATCTTTGGTAAGTGTTCCTGGCATGTCTAAAGCCTAAAACCTGATTCTGTTGTAAATGAGGGCTTAAGTGATACAGAATAGTTCTGCATCACTGGGTGCATTCTGTGACAAGTTTTGCAGAAAGCAGGGCACATGGGTACCCTGTCTTTCATGCTCCAGTGTGGAGGCAACGAGTGAATGTGCTGTCATGCGTTAATGTGGAAGCAGCAGCCCGTGTGTTTCAGGAGTGAAGGAACTAGGTGCTCTTGTGGAACATTAAGACTGTAAAATGTAATATCTATAGCAGAAGAGAACCAACAATTGTTCCTGTCAAACTGTCAACATTTCTTTTAAAATTAAAAATGAACTTTGTAAAGATCTATTGTGGCGTTGCTGTGGCTTTGCTGCATTCCAGTGTGTAGGTAAACAGCACTTGATTAAAAATTTTCATGCTATGAGGATTTTAAAATGCTGGACTGAGAGTAATTGATCCCAATATATAATCTGGAAGAGTCAGGGAATTTTGTTGTGTTTCTCTGAGTTCCGTTTTTTTGAGGTAAATGTTGAAGCAAGCTTGTTATTCTGTGTTCTTTCCTTGGGCTATCAGTTAACAGCTTTTGTTTGTTTTTAGAGGATTCAACAGTGAAAGGAAAACCTAGTGAGAGAAACAAAGAGAAAAAAGCAACCAGACCAGTGCGGAAATTGCAAAAACTGACACGGTTGTCAAGTCCAGAGTCCAAACAAGGTGACTAGCTCTACTGTAGAGGGAAGACTGTGGCACGTCCTTCAGAGATGAGTTTTGTCTTAAGAAATAAAGAAAAATTAAAGCATATTGCTTTCAAAGTCTTCTCAGATGTGCCATAATGCTGTTGTAGTGTGTTTGTAATCTGTATGCTGCATTGGGGATGTCTATGTTTTTGTTGGTTGGTTGGCTGTGTGGGGGGTTTTTTTGGTTTATTTTAATTTTCTGCCTTTCCACTTGCTGTGTGCACCACCTTATGGAAACTGCTGAAGACTGTGTGTTTCTTGGCGGGGCGGGGCAGGTATTCTTAGGTATCTGTCAGGCCAACACAGACAAAAAGTAGCAATAGCTCTGTTCTGGATCCTGCTTCTGTTTTACTTGTGTTGAAGCTGGTTAGTGACTGACCTACAGCTCAGTGAATAACTCTGAGAGGAGGAATAGAGGTGATATCAAAATCAGTGCCAGCAGGACTTGCTGCGTTGCACTCCTCTGTGAGGAGGGGCTGCAGTGAAAGCTGTTCTCTTATGTGATTTCTCAGCGGGGAAGCAGAGAACAGGATGTCCTTCTGGCTCTTCTCTGGCTGTTGTTCTTCTATGTCCTGTGTCAAGTTGTTCCTGTCCTGCACCTTCAGTTCTGGCTTTTTCAGTTAGTGAAAGAATGTAAAAACACGTTCCCTGACAAGTCTTACAAGTCTTGATATTTATAAAGGAATGTTTATTTCTTTTACCAATTAAGAATTTTTTATTTCCAGTGTTTTCTGACATTTCCACTGTCTATTAAATAAAATTATTTAGAGAAGATTATGTGAACAGGTTACTGTAGAGCAGTGCCTTATAGTAGAAAATTAACGGTTTGTGGAATTCTGTCAGTGCTTCTTAGTTTTCCAGTAATGTTAATCTTCAGTACTGTGTGTAGCAAAAGAGTTAGGAAGACTTCCACATCTGCTTTGTATTTTGTTTTATTTTTCATACAAAGTAAGTAGTTATGACTGCAATCACACTACAGAGCAATTTTTTTTTTCTTTAAGTACATGGGAGGTGATGCATCTCTTGCACCTTTTAAGGTTTTATATTTCTCCTTACATACCGTGACCCATAACTGGTAAACACTTTGTGGAAGAAAAAAAAGCTGCTTTAAAAAATTATTACAAAGGGTTTTTTTTAGAGAGTGAATACACCCTTCTGCATGCTGTAAATCATGAAGCTGCATGTGAATATTTTGTGGTACTAGATGCTAATACTTAAAAGTAAGTGATAAGCATAGATTTGCTCCTTCCTATGCTGATCAATTCGTACTTAAGGAACTACACTAACTTACATATCTTTGACACTTCCAAGTGAGGGAGGAGCACAGCGATTGCTGCATTTTTTAATGGCAATGGTTATTCTCCATAGTGGATTAAATGTGAGGAGAATGATGGCCTGAAATCCCTAGAAGATAAGAACCAGATCCAAGTGGCATATCCGCGATGGTCCGTCCTCCTCCAGTCATAGCAGTAAGAAACTGCTTAACATAGCTAAGGCTATAAATAACCACAGCTCATGTTCTGCTCCCTTAGCGTGTTTTAGTTCAAACAGCTGACTTGAAATGGAAGATGAGACTTTACACTGCCTTTTTAAATGCATACAGAAGTAATTGAGAACAGTGAGTTCGGCCAGAGAACCCCTTTGGCTGATAATGTCTGTTCCAAAGAGGCTTGTAGTGACGTGTTTCAAGTGACAGATTTATAAAATACTTGGATAATTTACAATGCAAGCAAAGAGTACTGTTAGTAAATGAATGAATAGTGGGCTACAGACTTCTGACTGAAGAAGATTCCTCCTTCTGGTTTAAAATAACAAAAAGAAAAGGAAGGGGGGTGGGAACTGAGGACTGGGATTGCCAAAACACTATTGGGCTGCTGTCCTGGATTTCACTTGAAGTTGCTTTGGTAAAATGTCTTAAAAGTCCTGTTGGCCCCAGAGTACAATCCCTTTTTGTCTGGCTATGTTTTCATGCTGCAGTGTCTGGGTTTGTTTAGGCAGTGCTGTCAGAGGTAGAACCTGAAATTGAATGGTTAGAAATCAACTGCAAATTCTGTATTCAAGTTACGTACTTTTCTAGCAATAACATACTGCTAAATGGTCTGAATTAGGTTATTAATATCCTTTTTTATATGATAATTTTCTCCAAAGCTTTTTAAGGTCATTATTTCAAAAAAATAGTTAATAATATTGCAAGTTAGTGGGCTGAAAGGTGAGTTGAATAAACCTTGCATTTAATCTAACCAATATTAGGTAAAGATGCCGCCGTACCCAGTTTTTATCATTTAATTATATGTGGGATGGTAAAATAATACTAATAACATTTTGATTGGGTTTCTGTCACCTGTGAGGTAATCTGTTCTTGAATTAAGTATCAGCTAATAGGGTTCTATCTTAACTATTTTCACTCATGGTACAGAAATCCCAGCTAGAGGACAGTGAGTTAGTATTGGCATAGAACAACTGCTGCTTGGTATTTTTTCACCTCTCACAAGACACCTGTCTCAGCGATTAATTATCTGTAAAAATCTCTGAAGTTTTTGTTTGGGCTTTTTTTCCTAGACTATCAGCTAATATTCTTTAAATATGAAGATTTTTTTTTTATCTCCCACCTTTATTTTTGTTCTTATTATTACAACTTTTTAGATGCTTTTCTCTTTTTTCTTATTTTCCTTATTTAAATGGAGATGAACAGCTTCTTCTCAGACCTCTACAATTATTTCCCCTTTCCCCCCCAGTAATGTTTGCTTATACATTTTAGACCCGTATAACCCTTTTTTACATCAGTTTTTTTAGGGCTTTAATGTGCTACAGTATGTTCTAGATTGTTACATTGTGTTCTATGTAGGCATGAAGCACTGATATTTGTGTGATTCAGCTGTTGAGTGTGTTGGTGGTACATCACTGTTATGACTGTTTTGTGTAACTGTAGCCATACCACTTATGCAGAACTAAATGGTACAGAAATGATTAAGGGTTGCAATAAATACTACTTTTTGATACGTTGGAAAATCCATCTAGTGCTTGACTTCTATTTATTACTTATTGTGCAGGTGGAAACTATGTAATAAGTGCATCTTCCTGGCGGGAGGGACAAAAGCTAGTAAAAAAGATACTGGGTCCAGCTCCCAAAATAGAACAGGACAGAAGAGCTGTATCTAGTGACAGAACAGGACGAGAACGAACTGCCAAGTCTGGTAAGTTGTACTTTTATCACTGGACTTTTTTCATTTAATTTATTATATAACACTGCAAGTCTGCAGAATAAAGAAAATTTCTGAGATAGAATGTAATCAGTTTCTTATTAAAATAACTCCTATTTTTAACCTGGAATTCGAGGGTGAAGAATTTTGCTCACATCCATGGTTGGGATGCATAACCTCTCTTCTGGGTAGATTATGAACTTGTCTCGGTGTCATGGGAAGCCTACCCTGTGCATGTGACTCAGAGCAGTACACGCTGCGAAAGTGCTCAGGAGCTCTGGAAAAGATGGGAAATAGGTTGCAACCAAAAAAATGGATCACCTGCCATCTGTCTTTGCCTCTTGAAGCTAGTGGGGAAGGGAATGGCTAACAGTGGTCCAGAGCCCTGTTGAATTTTCCAGATGTGCTGCATATAATACCTAAGCTATGGTTGGGCATCCCTGTTTTACAGGAATTGTGCTTCTTCCAGATACTATATAGTGTCATCCATGTGCATCATAAATCTTTATTGATTCCTTCGCTAGGCCTTTTCAGAACTTATCCAGAATCTCAGACAGGGCAAGTAAGAGATGGTGGTAGCTGCTGTGCTGCTTATGCCTGTGAGGTGGTGAGGCTGGTAAGAGTATAAAGGGTGTGAGCTCAGTCTAAACAAAGGCTGCTGTATTCAGACTATGGTAGTGGATGAAGCAAAAGCACATTTACAGTGACATCTGCACTCCTTCCTCGTCCTCACTTTTGCAGCTGTTTCAGTGATGGCATGTAATTTCCCAAATTTGATTTTTACCTGAAATATTTGACAAGTTTTATTCTTTAGCAGGCTGTATTGGAAGGACAGGTTCAGATTCTAGACTGGATGTTACCTGTAAAAGCTCTTCAAGAAGTTCTGAAAGGTCAAGAAGTAAAGTACGGTCTGAGAATAATCTGAAGAAACTGGAAGCTTCTCTTCCAGATGGTAACCAAGAAGATCATACCTCTGTAAATAAGGACTTCTTGCCCGTGGAGATACGTGGAATTCTCGATGACTTGCAGTTGGATTCCATGAGTACAAAGCAAGAGAAAGATGTGGAAAAGCAGAATCAGAAATCTGTTTTGCCTTCTCAAAATGCCAGGAGCCACAGTCCGACCAAAAGGAAACCGGACAAGATAGCTGCTAGTGAGGAGCCTCAGGTGATCTCTAAGAAACGTCACTACGATACAGATGAGGTTCGTCAGTACATCATCAGGCAGCAAGAGGAGAGGAAGAAGAAGCAGAATGAAGAGAAGAAAGCACAAAAGGAGGCAACAGAACAGAAGAACAAAAGGCTCCAAGAGCTCTACAGAAAGCAGAAGGAGGCTTTCAATAAAGTGAAGAATGTGCCTCATCCTGAGCCTTCAGCAGCCAAACGGTTACAGGAAGCCTATTCTAAACTATTGCTGGAACGTACGTTTTTAGAAGAGCCACCTCAGCTGCCTACGGTGCAGGAAACACAGGTATAGCTGATTCACTGACTTAATGTGTTGCAGTTGTTTGCAGGAATAGGAGGTGCTATGTTTAGGAAGGTCATGACTTGTCCTGGTCTGGTTATCAGTTAAGAAAAAGGATACAAGAAAACAGTGTAGTGTTTGCTTAAACATAGTGGTTTTATTCTGGAGCCTCCTTGCTAGTGGCTGCTTTTCAGCACAGCAAGGCTTACTAGAAAGATGAATGGAAATCATCTTGCTATTATAAATAGAAGCAGAGTTCTGAATATTAGCTAACAGCAGCTATAAAGGTTGGCTCTTAAGAAAACGGTAAATATCAGTCAAACCGTGAATTGAAGAGCTTTGAAGTTGCTTTCAGTCAGTGGACAAACTTCATTAGGAGTGAGTTAAATAAGTTTGCTAATCAGAAACTGAATATGAAAGAAGATTAATAGATGGTAAAAGACTAGTATAACTTTGATGTGTTCGGCTGAACTAGTTCAGTATGTGTGGAAAGATTTTTTTTTTTTTCCCCAGTACATTCTGCTGAGACAAAACCATAAATGTCTTGTGTTTTTAAGTCTGTGTGTGGTAGGAGAGATGTGATACTACACTGAGAAATGTAAGCCTTTTCAATTTTAATGAGACAAGAACTTCTGAACTCCTGCAGACTTTTGAAAATGTGCTTTTCTGGTTGTCTTCATTTCTAGCCCAGACCTGGTTATCAACCATCTGGGGAATCTGACAAAGAAAACAAGGCTCAAGAGCGTCCTCCTAGTGCATCTTCAAGTAGTGACATGTCGCTTTCAGAACCGCAGCAGCCGCTACTGAGGTGAGCCATTGTGGGCCTTTTGAGAGAGGAAAATACTCTAGTTTTCACCTCTGAGAAGTGAAAGTAGACTAGGCTCTTAAGTTCATATTCTAGCAAGAGTAATTGTCTTTATGGCAATCATAATGTTTCCTCGCAGTAAAGAGGAAGCTGATGCAGGAAAGCATGTGAAAATTTTGGCTATGGGTATTTAGTGAGTCTGTAAATAAAGTGAATGGTGGTTGCTGTTAATCTTTTGCTGACATCATGAGGGTGCACATTTCATATTGGAAGGCATATGTCCATTGCCATCGGACAAGAGAAGCTGGTCACATGAATATGTCTGTTGATTTTTTTTCTTACTTGATTTGTTCAGTGTTTCTATTTAATCAGTTGTCTTGGACTCAGGCCTTTAGTTACTGTCTCTAAAGTACTAAAACCCTCTGCTTCAGCTTGGAACTAGCCTTTCCCCGTTACCTTTCACGCTGCTTTCCCCATTTTTAATTGTTCAGTGTATTATCAAAGTCTTTCTTACTGTAAGTAAAGGTGCCTAACGAAACACTTATATTTAAGGAACTAAAAATCCTAGTTTCTTGCATATCCTTAATATCCCTGTTGTCCAAGTGTGTCTTCGTTTTTAATTACATAATGAATGCTTCTTAAATATATATACATGCTTCGTTATGTGTACCTTAACTTGGTCAAATCCATGGTGACTTTGTAAATTCAATGAGACCTGTTTCCTTTCTGGAGAAGTTCAAGGAAGCACTGGGAATGCTTTGTAGTACCATATACAGAATAGGCTGCTAAACCATATGGTAATAAATATTGTTAGTGTAACGTTGTAAGGAAGAAATGTAAGTACTAATAGTAGGGGAGAGATGAGACTTAAAGGGCTGCATATGTTATTTGGAGAGCCTCATAGTAACCAGAGAAGCAATTTTTTGTGAGGGACTTTCCAGGTTTCCTAGGGTTCAGAATATGTGTGAGTGATCTTTAGTGAAGGAAGGTCTCTGCAGAGCTCCTGTCATGCAAATGGGAGCTATCTGGAAATAAAAAAGATGTCTTACAGGACATTAAACATCCTTGCATTTCCATTCCTCCTTTTCTTTAAGTGTTCTTCATGCCTACCCTAAGTGAAAGCTCCAGTGAAACATGGGCTAGCTTCAACTGGAGGGGGAAGGCTGGGGCTAAGAAATTCCAAGGAAAAAAAAAAAAAAAGTTTCCTCCCTTTTGAAGTTAGGAAACTTTTGGAAAAGACTTACTGCTGATGATGAAAACACCCAGCTTGTTATAACTCTAAAACACACAGTACACCATAAATGGCATTTCAAATTTGGAAGGTGCTGTGTTGGTTGTGTGGGAAGCTTTTTTGTTTGTTTCTTTTGGGGGGGGGGTTGGTGGTTTTTTTTGTTCTTGGTGTGTTTTTTTTAAAATAACATTCTGTAACTATTTACTGTCCCATTCCCTGCCCCTCTGATTCCACCAAAAAGTATTTCTTCCTGAAAAATAAATTTGTGTTAATGATACTTTCATCTAAAATGACAGTACTTGTGTAAGTCATCAACTTAAATGTTGATTTTTCATTTCAGGAGTGATTTGATGGAGCCTCCGTGGGTACAGCCAGACAGGTTGAGCCCAAGAGTCCAGCTCTCTCACCCGCAAGCTCTCATGGGCTCAAGTGGAGGCCCTTGCTCCCAACACTGGAGTCTGGAGCAGATGGACCTTTTGTCAAAGGAGTGTGATGCAATGTTGGCAGGCAGGAGAAGCCATGCTGCACCTATGGGATCACTGACCTTGATGCCTCAGCCATACCTGAATTCACCTGCTGCACAGCAAAATCTCTTAGTAAAACCTACTGCTAGCCAATATAAGAGCAAATTAGATCGGATTGAAGCTTTGAAAGCTACAGCTGCTTCCCTTACTAGCAGGATTGAAAGCGAAGCCAAAAAGTTGGCTGGGGCTGGTATCAATTACGGTACCATGTGGAACTCAGACCGTGAATTTATGCAAGAAAACCAGGATGATGGGCAATGGGCAAAGGCTGTGAGTCCTCCTGTGAGAGAGGAAAATGAAGATGCTTTTTCAGCCAGAATTCAAAAAATGTTGGGTACCTGTGTGTCTCATACAGCCTTTGATGACAGCCTTCCTGGGGTAGGCAACCTTAGTGAATTTAAAAAGCTTCCTGAAATGATCAGGCCTCATACTGCTGCAGTTAGCCTTGGAATGAGGTCCCCCGCTGCTAACAGGCATGAGGGGATACTAGGACATTTATCCAAGAGGCAGACTGACTCCCCAGGGTGTGAAAACCAGGCTTACGCTCCAAACAAAGCTGTCATTCCTCATGAGTCCAGCATCGACTCCATCAGCGAAGGGCCTCTCCTGAGTGACAGAAGCCTCTCTGAAGAGGAAGGAAGCCAGCACAAAGAGTTGCCACTGAAGATGCTGGAGATGTTAAAAGAGAAGGATTTCTGCATTCGGGAGAGAAATGCTTTTGAGCCCATAAAGGAGTTTCAGAAAGAAGCTGAGAAGTATTTGCCACTTCTTACTCAGACAAGTGGCGCACACAGCAAGGGGCCATGGGAGGAACTGGCGAAGGGAAGTCCCCACAGTGTCATAAACATCTTTGCGAAAAGTTATCAGCTTCATGGAAAAGGTAAAAATGGAAAAATTTCTTGAAGCTCTTGTGAATTACTGTTTTCTTGGTCTTACTACTCCTTGCACTTTATACGTCACAGGTAAGGAATGTGCTTTTAGATGTCTCAAACATGAATTTGTGTAAGGCTTTTCTACTTTACTTTTGGATGATAAATTATTTCTCCCACCTTTTGCCTTCTTGTCTAAGGAAAAAAAGAACAACATGCCCCACACACAATTTTGGGCTGGAAGAAGATTATTTTTGTGTTAGATTGTGCTGTATTTCTAGATCAATAACTAATTCATATGCTGAGTTACATGTATTAAGGACACGCGTAATTACGGAATTGTGAATGTAAAGTTTACATTTATTGTATCCAAAATTGCATACTAAATCTAAATTGCCCAGAGTACATTTGGAAATGGTTCTCTCCATCATGGAGAACAGACCCTCTGGATTGGAGTGTGCATCCTCCTACTATATACACACTCCAGATCATCTGTAATAACACATCATTCCTGTTTCAGTTAAGGCAGAAAGATGAAATGCATGCTTTATGCAGCACTTACTTTGTGGCATAAACACGAGTGCTTGGATATGTCCTGAGTTCTTGCTATGCAAGAATAATATAGCTTTACTGTATTATTAGAAACGTGTAACTTCAGTGGATGAATGATGTGGACTTTCCTTTTGCATCTTTGCTCGTGCGTTATTTGATAATGTCTCGAAGTAGGGCGACAATTAAACCTCTCATAACAATCTTTGATTTTGAGAAGGTAAGGTTTTGGTGTATCAGCAGGGAAAGTCTCTTGCTTAAACAAGCCCATTTCAAGTGTTACTGTCTTAGGGCATGCTTTACAAGCATCTCATGCAGGATGCTTCATTTGATTTTCATTTTTTGTACAAATTTATTCGTCATTTTATGAGTACTGTTTCTCTTGTGTTGAATTCCTCATTTTGAGGAGGAATGTTTTCTGACAAGTTGATTTTTATCATGTATTTTTTCTTGATTCTTTTTTTTCTTCATTTTATTTCCCTTAAAGATGATTGCATTTCAGTTTTCTGCAGATGACTCTACTCTCAAGCACTGTGCTCTTCAAGAATGTTTTAGCTAGAGTGTGTTAACGAAGTAGAGTGTTCAATAATTTACGAAAAGATGAAGACTGTGCTTGTTATGTTGTGTTAAAACTGCCATGGGATGTCTATACTGTTGTTTTCCTGATGTTTTTGTGTTTGAAAGGAAGTCTTTCTAACTTGTGGTTGGGAGCATTTTAATTCCTGCAGCTTTATTGCCTGTTTTATGCACACTTGCATTTGGTATAATTTTTGTCTTTTTGCTCCTTTATCCACACTTTAGTGTTTGATGAAAGGTCAAATGGAGGGTCTGCCCTTCTGCGCCCTTTACTCCCTGCCATGAGCCCTCCTGAGAGTGTGGTTTCTTACGAAGATGATTTTGCCTCATCGCAGGGAAGTGGCACTTTAACAGACAAAAAGATTGCACGTGACCTCAGGTAACTCTATGTTAGACTTCTTGTAAAAATCAAAATGCAGCATTTGACAGAAAATAGTTAATGCAAAATTGGTTTCATAATATGCTGGATATCTTTTCTGTTGTGCTGTATTGTAATACTAGTCAAAGTGATGAGGTATTTCCTTAGGACCTTGCAGTTAATACAGCAACCAGCATGGTTAAGACATAAAGATTAGAGTCAAGTATTCCTGTTCACTGTCTAATTTTTGTTCTTCGTTAGTCTGGCAGGTAGCTTTAGGCAAGGGACTTAAGCTTTGTAGTGAGGTGAAAATTAGTTCTCCAACTTGTGTGGCTGCTATAATGCTCAATGGGTTAGTCTTTGTAATTTAGAAAAAAGAAGCGATATTTGAAAGTGTTAAAATATCTTCAGTACTTCAAAATTTTGTAAAAAGCCTATAATTACTTTCAGTAAGGGTTCAGTAATGCTTAGTAGTGGATACATAAATTGCCTGTAAGAACTTTTAAACCTTTTGTTCAGACTAAAATTTGAAGACTGTAAATTCTAGACTCTCCGTGTTACTATTGAATTCATGTGGCTTCCTGAATTTCCTAAGACCCCTGTTTTGTAATGACATATATTTACATCTTTTGGGCACCTTGGGGAAGGCCACATGTACTGTGTTTATATTGGTGGTACTTTACCTCAGAAGAAAGGAAGGTAAAAGGCAGTTTGCACACTGAAAATGTTGACTGCAAAAAATGTTTTCTTTCCAGTTAAACTTCTTGATAGGTCTTCTGTTGGTATTATTTAGTATATGATGCATTACCCCCTTATTTGCAAATCTTTTGTAATCCTTTATTGAAAATCACTAATTTCTGTCAATTTACTGATGATATCTATATGCCCAGAGATTATTTAGAATGCAGTCATATTTGGAGTAATTCTCAGGTTCAATTCTGTAGTCAAATAGCTCTTAAGAGTTAGCATTGGAAAGGATGATTGCTACCCGTTTTTTACTATTTCATATTATTAGAAGAATGTTTCAATATGTTCAATATCATGTAAAACTTTCTACTGTTTTAGCTGTAGTAGCTTTTAATCTCAAAATCAATGCTTTTCAAGATGGGCTAGTTAATACAGTTTTAGCCCTCTGTCTCCAGTTTACTTGTGCACAGTGTAATATGGGAGTTGGAAGTCCTTAGTTAACCACTGTCAATGTGCTCCTTTTTAGTGTTGCTGGCAGCAGTAATTCAAGCATTCAGGAAGAAGTTCCTAGTAGGAAGTCTCCCCATGAACCTCGATCTGTAGAGCTTGCTTCTCAGCATTCATCTGGACCACGGTCTGCAGCATCTTCTCGCTCATCTGCTTCCTCTAAAAAGAAGGGGAAAAAGGAACGTAAGTGCAGTACTTCACTGTAGGGTTGTTTTTTTTTTTTTGAAGGAGGCTTTAGGGTTTTCTTGTTATGAAAATTGCAGTCTTTCTACATATCTAGAAACTGTAATCTAATACAGATAGGCAGATTTATTTATTCCTCCAGTGATTCCTTCCTAAATTCTTTTTGAGTGATTATTCTCTGACCTTAAAATGCATCTGAAATTAAATAGGCAAGAGGTTATTAACAGTATTGAAAATGTTTCCTTTCCTAAACCAGCCTTCTAACAAATTAGTTAATTTTAATATCATGTGGGAACTATCCTCAGATTCTGGACTGAGAAGATTCCAATAGACTGCTGAGAAATCTGAGTTATGGCCACATTTATGAAGGTGACAACAAGTTTGCCTGTATATGCTTCATCTTTGGATCATAGACAGTTTTCATAGTGCACAAATTAATAAATACATTTTTTCCTACAGTAACTTGTACATTACAAAAACATGAAGAAACTTGATATGTGGTACAGTCTTATTATATAAGCAATGGGTGACATAAGAAAAAGCTAGTTTTAAAGACAATAAAAGGATGAGAAAAATAAGATGGGATATTCCAAATTATCTCTCTTACTATTTTTTCAAAATTCTCTAGCTTACCCAAAGAAAGCTAGGCTTTACTCTAATTATCTATTATTGTGCTTGTTTTCTTTATTTAAACTGATAGCGTTCTGAAAAGTTCGCTGAGTGACAGTTTTGCTGACAGTGGACACAATATGCAGAAGAGAACTTAATCTCCTGTAGGAAACTGCCAAATTTACATTTCTTGCTTGTTGGATTTATAGATTTCTAACTCAAAGGTATCTTTAAGTGGGGAAAAAAGTTCTCCATTATTTGTTTTGGGGTTCCTGATGGCTAAGATATTCATACTTAGAATACCAAATGTAAACTTTTTGCAATGTTGTTGCTTCTTAGGGTTGGACTCTTTCAATGGAAGTTCTCACCACTTCCCTGTGGAAGAAGATAAAATGCTATCTGAATTAGAGTGGGGATCCCAACAGACAAAGAAGTCCTTATCAAGTAGCAGAATTTCTAGTAAAGATCATGAGCAGAACCCAGATACAGACAGCACATTAGAAAACTTGTCTGGACACTCCCTAATGAGGTAACATGAACCTTGTAAGACTGTATGCAAATATAACTAAGCTTGGTGGTGTTGTGGCATGTTATTAAATGGCTGTGTCTTTGGGTGTGCAAAAGGAAAGTAACAGAAATAATCAAATGTTAGTAAGATGAGCATGCAGAAAACGTTTTTTTCCCCTGTATTTTAAGTATGAAAGACCAAAGTAGATGTCTGTAGTAAGAGCAAATACAAAACACTGATTCCTCCCCAAATAACCCCTCTGTTTTTGTAAGGATAACTGGCCAATAGAGGTATGCTGTCAGGTTCAGTACCATAAGCATTAAAATACAGTTTTCGTCTTCCAATTCTACAAATGGTCTGTAAGAAAGGGGGGGTGGGGGGAGACAGCTAGTCAACTTGTGCAGTCGTCTTGCTCTTTTCAGCAGAATCCACAGACATTTTTGGCTAGCCTATCCAGCTCTGTGAGTTGATGCTTTTTGAGAGATGAACTGATACTCAGAAAAGAGTGTAGAAAAAGAGGAAAAAATTCTAATTTTCTGTTGCAACCTCTGTATGTCTAGCTATGAATGCAGTTTTTCTGCTAATTGTGCAATGAAGGTGGTTATGAAATACTCAGTTTTCACTGCACTTTTTTCTAAAAAGCAACAAATAGTACGAATGGTCTCTCACTCATTCTTTGTGGGTATAGAGTGGTTCCAAGGTATTGACTTATATTGATGACTTTCAGTGATGCCCAGTTTTGGGTTTGAAAGGTCCTGGGACCTACTAAGATGTGCCAAGTAAAGCAGAACATCTTCCTAAGGGATGTAAGCAGCCACTGTTAATCCTCTTTGGCTTAATAAAATTGGAATAGTAAATTTAAGAAGTGTCTACATAATTTTTTGTATGTTTGGAAAGCGATGTCTTCAGCTGTCTCTTAAGAAGAAATGTTTCTGTAGTATTTTACTGTTTAAGTCAAGTTTTGGTCTTCAAGCATTTCATTGCATTTTGGTGAAAGAGATTGAGACTCAGGGCAGTGGTTTATCACATTCAGTTGCATTCGTATGCTGACAGTAACCTGTTTTTTTTAAAAATACTGTTCATCGTATTTTGATATCAAAATATTGCCCTGATTTCCTGTGAGTAAAACAAATTTCTTCACTCAGACTCTCAAAACAGATGTGTAAATACACATGCAGGTGAGTGCATCCTGCAATGCCACCTTTTCTAACAGAAGGCATTGAACTGCTTGTCTGGTCATGTAGATACATGTAGATACTATGTTAATTTTTTTTTTTTTTTTTTTTTTGGTGTGTGCTAACTAGGTTTAATACTGGGAGGAAAAATTGAGTGCTCTAGAAACTTAACCCTAAAATGAGATACAGGTACAAAGCCCATCTTATGAGACCATTTCCTAAAGGCAGACTGGGCCTGTGCAAACCATAAAAAACTGTGCCTTTTGCGTGGATTTGTTTGGTGTATATAAATGGAAGAACTAGGTTATTGCTTTATTGTCTTATCACATGGCTGGACTTAGAACAATATTGACTCCTTTCTTTTTTTGTTTCATTGTCAGTTTCTCGGACAAGGGGAGATCCCAGAAGACACCGACTTCTTCCCCATCTCCTAGTTCCCAAAAAATGTTGCAGTTTGATTCTATAGGCAATACAGCAGAAAGGGTCAAGTCACCTGCTGGCTTTCCTGGAAGTACAGCATCAGGGCTGAAGCCTAACGTAGCCTTCCCTGACTTGAGTCTGGGAACTAGTAGGTCTGTAGCAGGAGCAGCCTCAGCGAGTGGTGAGTTGTTTTGTTAAAACTATACTAATCCCAGAGCAGGTTGTTTGGGTTTTTTTTCCTTTATTTTTTGAGGCGGGACACTGAAGTCTATGGAGGTTGACTAGTAAGTCTTATCCTGCAGGATGTATGCGCTTCTCCCCTGCTGGTCTTCAGCATCGTTTATCAGCAGAATTGAACTACCTTAGTGCTATTGAGGAGTCTGTGCGACAGCTTTCAGATGTAGAACGAGTACGAGGCATATCACTTGCACAGCAGGAAAGCGTTTCTTTGGCTCAGATTCTAAAGGTAATGGAAAAATACTTCCTTGTCTTAACCTTCCTTTTTTATTCTGCAAGAAAATTAATCAAATTGGGCAAGTTATGCTTTTGTTAGCAATGCAGAGAAATCATCATGGGTGTGATGTAGCATCTCTGATAATGTCAGTTTTTTAGGATTAATATCTGTTATCTTTCCTATTTTAAGTCGACACCAAGGAACTGGTGACTAGAATACGTGTCATTAATATACCATTAGCTGGAATCACTGCTTTGGTTGTGTACTTCAGTAAAATAAAAACTCGATTATTTACTAGGTTTGATGTTGGGTCCCAATGCCATGCAGTGTAGTTGTTCAGGCTGGATCATTTGCCTTATTCCATGAAGAGGATATTTTTGTTTGAACTTTCTTATGTTGACAAGATTGCTTTTTCTAGTTTGTTGAATTAATTGGTCTCCTAAATCATCCTTCTTCCTACACTGTGATGGAAGAGTATGGGGAATGTGCATTGTCTACTGCCTACTTAAAAAGGGAGAGGGTCAGTTGGTAGGCTGGAAATTTTACTTTAGCAGAAGAGGCACCACCAGTAGAGTAGATCTAGATCTTTCAGAGGTAGTTGCAGCCAGGGGCTAAGGCAAAAAAAGCTATTCACATTTAACTTGCATGATTAAAACTTGTTTTCCTAATCTGTAGGCACAGCAGCAGCGCCATGAACGGGACTTAGCCCTTTTGAAAATCAAGGCTGAACAAGAAGCTTTAGAAAGTCAGAGACAACTGGACGAGGCAAGGCAGAAGGCAGCTCAGGTAATGCTGCCCTTCAAAAAATGTGGAGTGTGTAAGAGGCAAAATGCTGTAAGTAAATCCGTGCCTACAAGTATTTTTAATTTGGAGCTGGGAACATATGGAAGTGGTGAAGGGGTTTAATAGAGCTGAAAAAAGCTCTTAGGGGCCAATTGCCAATTTCAAACTTTTTTCCCCCAGATTGTGAGAAATAAAACTGTAGTAGTTATAGCCAGAAAATTTTGAAGGGCTGAACTGGCTGTGTTTTCCGCATAGGTACATGCGGAGTCACTACAGCATCTCGTCCAGTCACGGCAGGAGGCTGTACAAGAGACCCCATGTAAGGCTGCAGCCAAACAGGCAGAAACTGCATCTCACCAGATCCATGAGGTGAGGTCCTGAGTGAAAGGAAAAAGCTGTTCTAATTTCAGTATTATTTTGAATACTATTTTGCCTGTAGGTTGTTCTCTGTTCAGTGTCATTCTCAGTGCAACTTCTTCGCCTTCATAACATGACAAATGATAGGACTTCAAAGGAGCTTTTTTGGCATCATTACTCAGAAGTCAGTCAGCAGCCTTAAATCCCTGTTCACTATTCTTATGATCTTCCAGTTAACGAACTGTTAAGAAGTTTGTTCTTCCAGGATAGATTGATGATAGTGAGCACAACATCTTTAATTTGTAAGAGTTACACTCCATCAGGGATTGATCCTGTATCTGTTTCATGTGCAAATTTAATTAGAAAAGCAGGGAAATAGCAATTTCGCTTACTTTTGAAGGTAGGAGACCAACAAATAAGTAAAAAAAAAAAAAAAACCAGGAGGGGGGAGGATCTTCAGCAGAGCTCTTAATGTGGTATAGAGTTTGAAGTTTTCTTTTTTTGAGTTGCTTCTCATTTTTCTCGTGGCATACAGAATATTTATTAGTTTTCAGTTTTGTTTATCAGTTTTTATACTTTTTGTTCCCAACGTGTAGCAGTTGCTTCACTCATAGCTAAGGAAACACAGTAGCCAGAAAATGCTTTTGCTTTTTCATAGTTTAGCAATCACCATGACTGTGCATTAGGGTTATGGGATGGAGCGTGGAAGGCTGGTGGGTATGAACATAACTGTTTCTTCAAGGCTTATGTACGTTTTGGTGCTCAGCAAGGCTGTTTTTGTGATAGGTAATGGGACTGTAGAATAATACTGATGTACTTGTTCAGGGCTTTGTTACATATGTGAAGTTTAATTTTTGAAGAGACAAGAATGGGTTAGGTTAAAGGAGCAGAAAAGCTCAGGCATCTGAGATACATGCAGTGGTAGCTGATAGCAGGTAGTGAAGTCTTGGATAAAGACAAAGAAACATTTGTAGTTTATAAAGCCAAAGTGAGTGAAAACTAATTAAGAAACAACATAGAAGAAACAAAGACAGCTTTTATTTGGTGTAAGATTTTAATTTCTTTTCTTGCTCTAAGTTTGAAGTCTGAGAGTAAGAGGTGCTTGTGGAGAGGTTGTTGGGGGCGACCTGGTCGGTGATGATGGGCTAGCAGAGTAGCTTTTCTATCCACGTTCACTAGTGACTCCTGATATTCACTTGTTTTTATAAAACTGTATGCATTACAATTAATGCATATATTAATCGAAGAATTAATGAAGAAGCTCAGTATGTGTATTGGAAGTTATTGAAATACAGCTTATTGCTACCTTCAAAACCAACCTGAGTTTCCTGCTGTACAAGAGGCAGATGTTTGAACAAGAAGAAAAATAGTAAATTCTAAAGCTTCTAAAAACCAGTGTTATCTGCTGTGATTTCTGAAGCTCTTCTTATTTCTAGTCAAGTACACAGTGACTGCCATACGTTAAAAAGGACAAATTCATGGCTATCTGTTGATTTAATGTTGCCAATTTTAGACCTGGTAGTTTGCATAATATTGGAACTTTAAACCTGTTGCTTCCTTTAGAGTGCAAATAATGTTTCTTGCTCTTTGGGCAAGATGCACTTTCAAATGAAAAAGAAAACATTGTTTCTGGCTTTTTTTTTCCCCTTAATGTTTTATTATGTGGGAATCATTCTAGTGATCAGAGTTTGCTTAAGTTGATCAGAATGATATGGTAAGTAGTGTCTTGCATGTCTATAGTTTCATATCAATAATTCATCTCTGCTTAAATTAAAAAATATGTATTTACAGAGCAGTATGCACTTTTTACAACCAAAATTGGTAAGTATGTAACTACAAACCATCTCAAAACCATGTCTTACACGTTTGTTCAATAAATCAGTAAATTGACTATTTTCTCTTTCAAAACCATTTTGATGCTAATAAGCTCATTGTATTCCTTTGGTTTTTATTATACTCAGATGACAGAGTTAGCACGAACCCAGATCTCGGATACTGTCAGCGCTCCAGCTGCTCCAGTCACCACCTTGTTTGACCACCAGCGGCAGCATCATTCAGAGTTCATGAAGCAACTGAGAGCCCGAGCTGATACAAACAGGTTTTCTCTAATGTTTCACATCTTGGGAAGGATGAAGTAAGATAGTTAGGTTTTGCTTCACCTGTTCTTGAAGAAAATTGTAAGATGTCATAATGAACGAGCATTTAAAAAGAAGAATTTAGATTCCATCTTTATGCCCTCAACAGTGTACGCCAAAGGTGGCATTAACTGGTTATATGAAGCTCTATATAAAAGAGTAGAAAAAGATGCTCTAAGTGTTTTCTGGGATGATTTAACTAGTCTAAGCTTTAAGTGGTCTTTTCAGAAATTTTAACTGTTACTACTTCTAGTAAACTGATGAAAGCTTGTGAAAACGGTATTAGTCTTTGTTTTAAGAGAAGACAGATTCATCCAAAACGCTTCTCTTTCTCAGGAAATGTGAGTACACTGCCATGTCACAAGGTAAAGAGGAGCCAGGTGACTCGAAACAGACATACTCACTGATGTTTGATAGTTATTCAGAGTCCTCAAGATCAAAGGTTCATGATCAAAGGTAAGACGGGTTTAGATTACACAGGATTTTTTTGCTATAAATAAGAACTAAAGTACAAAGGAATATCAAGATAGTTCCATCAGTATTTTTTAAAAAAAGAGGGAAAGTCAGTATTAAACCTTCAACAGGTAAACCTGTCTTGTAAACCTTTAAGCTCTGGAATATGTGTCTACCAGAACTGACTTTGTCTTTAATTAAAAATCCTACTATACTGTGGTCCATAGTGTAATAGTATGTTGTGTGTTAATATCTTTAGTTTTGAGTTTGCTGTTCTAATTGGACACTTTTTTCTTTCCTAACTTTAGAATAATTGAGTTCCACATTTGTTTACTCATTCAGCTGAATTAGCAAGAGTCTAGCAAGCAGGTGAAGGGAAATGGTTATTCCCCCCTGTTTAGCTCTTGTGAGACTGTATCTGGAATACAGTGTCCACTTTTGGGCTCCTTTGTAAAGAGAAGACATTAACATACTGATGCAATTCTAGTGGTGAACCACCAAAGATGGTTAGGAGGCTGGAGTATGTGATATAAAAGAGAGGCTGAAGGAACTGAGCTAACTTAACCTGGAAAAGAGAAGGCTAAGGGAGCAGAGATCTAGTTGCAGTATCCTAAAGGTGGGTTGTTAGGGAACATGAGGCTTGACTCTTCTTGGGGGTGCACAGTGAGATGGCAAAAGGCAATGGTGACAGACTCCAGAAAGGGGAAAATCATTGGGAAAAAAAATGCTCCCTGTGAGAGTGGTGAAACACTGGATTGGAGGTGCAGGTAGGTTGTGGGAACCTCTGTCCTTGCAGGTGTTCAGAACTTGGACGAGGCCTTGACTTTGGTTGGATGAAATACCTTCAGGAATTGTTGAGCTGAGACTATTCTGATTTCTGTGCTGTGGCCTGCTTGCATACTTCTGTTGCATCACATTTATAACCTAAAAGTCACTTTAAGTCTCTGTTTATCTCAGTCTTTTTCCCTGTTCTAAATATTTGCAATTTATGCCCTTCTCATTTTGCTCTGTGTCTTTTTGAAATGGACTAGAACATAGACTGGAGCATATGTTCTGAAAACTCAGTGTGGGGACCTGTAGAACTGCCTACTCTGTAATGTGCATTACTTTCTATTCTGTTCTCTGTGTATCTGGCCATTTTGTTAGGGTTGGTTTTTCTTCACTTCTGCTTTGCACTGGCTTGAGTTTTTACATGAAGTGCCTGAAGTGCTGCTTGCCTGAGATTTAGATTTGACTAATTTCTGGTGTTATTTTTCAGTGTCTTGCCTGTGGATTTCAGCTTTTTGTTTCCTGATCACTTACCTGATCTAGTTAGGTCCCATGAAGTTTCTCACAGCCCTTCTCTGATCTTGACCAAATAGAATGATTTTGTCCTCTTGTAGTTCTAATTTAAAACAGTATCACTGTCTTGCTCATACTTTTTAAAAACTGTAAGGAGAGATGTTTGCAGTGGTTTATCATCAATACTCATTGCCAGGTAGAGGGTGTGCATACCTACAAACCACTTGCATTCTAAGGCAGAATAAAAATAACAAGTTCTGCTGTCAATCAGCAGCTTGATGAGACTTGGAATTTTGAAGTAGCCAAGCAGCATTTTAAAAACAAACCCAAACCCTCTGCATGTTGATTATTACTGAGATGTTAATCATGGTATGTACGGTAGTAATGTAAAATAAATATTTTGAAATGTGCAAAGTAATTTTAAAAAAAAATCATCTCTTGATAACACAGTAGTACCAGCAGCCGCCAAGAGAGTCCTTCAGTTCCATCTTCCAAGGAGAATGAGAAGAAGCTTTCCCGTCGTGAAAAGATAACTAGCAGTATTGAAGAACAGGCTCATACTGGTGTGGATGATTCCTTGCCAAGCGATAGTATTTTATCAATGCCAGATGAAAAAGGTTAGCTGTATTGTTTGTTTGTGATGAATCTGAAGGTGGTAAGGGGGGCAGGAGGGAGGTTCTGTTTCAGAATTAGTTTCTGAAATAAATGAGGAAATGTGTGTGAAGAAAGCTGATCCCCAGGTGAATTGGTAGCCTCTTAAGAGGTAACTGAGGATGGCACAGTGAGATGGGAACCTTTGAAATTCTGCACATCAGAGTGGTGGAATCTGTGGGCCGTTCTACTTTCTGCTGTGCTAGCTGTAGCCAGATGTTCACTTGCTGAATACGCAGGCTGAATACCAAATGTTTCAGCAGCCCCAGGAATGTGTTTATACTTGTGTACAGTAGTCTGTTAGGTCTTTTGAAGCTAGATAACAGTATTTCACAATGTCCTCTTACTCAAGGTCACACTTTTCTAAACACCCGTTTTTCTGCATTAGAGTAGTTATGTCCCTTTCTTTCCTGCCCCCCCAACTTTACTGAGATGAGGCAGAGTAAAACTGCATTCATGGTACATAACCTGAGTGTAAAACCATTCCACTGATTTCTCCCTCAGATTCTGCTTCTGTTGCAACAGAGTATTCCCTGAAATTTGATGAGTCCATGACAGAGGATGAGATTGAGGAGAAGTCTTTTCGGTCTTTACTGCCCTCTGAGAGTCATCGCAGAAATAACTTGGAGAAGAAACGGGGTAATCGTGATGATTCTGACGAGGAGGTCTCCCCAGAAAAAACAGCTCTGTCATCTATCAAGGTAGGTCAAGCAACCATAGTTAAGGTAAATCAACTGAACTGGAATGGTTAAGCTGATGAGCTTCAAGTGAGCCGTTCTTAGCTGTGTTCGCAAACTTTAGGGCTCTTTTCCTCTCTGTGGTTCTTTGAGCATCTCAAAACATAGAGTTGTATGAATCATGCTGTATGTCACTGTTGCACACTTGCGATGACTTGACTTAGGGAACAGTCCATCCAGGCCTCTACCTGTTTTCTTGAGGCTTTGGAGTGACTTTTTGAGTTAGGTTATAAAAGCCCAGTGGATTAAGTCTTCCTACTATACCTACACACAGCTAGGAAGTACAAGAGGATGCTTCATCTCTCTGGCCCAAGAGGGGACATCCCAAAACTGTCATGCAGCTCAGGGCAGAAAAAGCTGGTCTGCACAAAGCTCAGAGAAAAAACAGTTTCCCTTTTTATATCTGGTTTTGTGTGTGTGTATCTGTGTATACACACACACACTTTGTAATTGAAAAAAGCCTTGGAGTTTCTGTATTATCAAATCATGCCAAATTTGTCTTGCCTCCTAGGAGCTAAGCATGCCATTCTCAGGGGGGCAAGACAGTTTCTCTAAATTTACCATGGAGATGGTAAGACAGTACATGAAAGAGGAGGAAATGCGAGCAGCTCACCAGTCCTCACTGCTTCGGCTCCGGGAGAAGGCTCTGAAAGAGAAGACCAAAGCTGAATTAGCTTGGCTGGAACACCAGAAGAAGTAAGGCAGCTCTGAATAGACACTGTTGCTGACTGACTGTTTTCTTGTACTTCTTCTTGAATTTTTTTTTTTTAATAAGATTTTGCTTCCAGCCCACCCCTCCCTTATTAAGTATCAATGGTTGAACTAATCTTCTGACATCAGTAATCTATACAAAAGTTATTGTCACTTGGAAAGAACAGAACCCAGTTTGTAAGCGTGCTTTGATGTTTATGTTGAATGTGGTTTGATAAAAGAGAATTTCATTGAAACAGTAGACCATCAGAAGTTCGTTGTCAGTCAGAGAAGGTAGTTCCCAACCATTACTCTACAAGTCTTAATTCAATAAGGTATAAAACTGTCAAACAGTTAGACTTTGATGTCTATCTGAGGTCATTTTAGTTGACTCAGGACAAATTTTGTGAATCTGGAGAGGTGTTGTACTTAATGATTTTTTTCCAAACTAACATACGCTTTGTCCTGGAATGCCACTTGAAGATACTACTAAACAGTGGTGGCCACATTTAATCAATAACACTTTTCCATGTTCACTCTCTGCATGAGAGTAACATTGTTCACCAGGCATTTTCTTCTAATTTCTTGTCATTATGGGTTTGACAAAGGATTGTGAAGTAGTGACCCAAGTGTCCTTCCTTTTGCCTTTCTCAAATGGTGAGCATGCTACCTCTGCAGAGCTTCTGCCCACTGATGTGAGATCTCATATCTGCACTGGCCTTTTAACTGCACGTGTCTGACTAAACAGTTCAAAATATTCCACTATAGAGCATGCCAGTGATTAAGTATAGGCATATACTCTTCTGCAGGTTAGGAAAAGTAAACTTTTTTTAAACTTTAAAGAGTAAAAGGCTCATTGTTGTGCACTTTTTTTTCTTATTTAATCCTTTCTTCCAACCTATTTGCAGGCATTTGCGAGACAAGGGAGAGGATGATAAGATGCCTCCTATTCGAAAGAGGCAACGTGGTCTGCTGCTGAGATTACAGCAGGAAAAGGTAATTGATGCCCTCTAGAAAAATCCTGTTGAAAGCCCTGTGTAGCCATTAAATGTTTCAGACACTGTAAAAGCTAAGAATTGAGAAAACTCCGTACCAGGCTTTTGGATAGGAAGCTAGCAGTATTTCTTACCAATAAGTTTTATTTGCATTTCAGTAGTATTTAACACATTGTTTTAAAGGGTCCTTCTGTATCAGTAATCTCACTAGTTGAGACTTAGAAGTATTAACTGATCTTCTGTTCTTTGCTGCTGAAGTTCAGGCTAGTTAACTTCATTATGTAATTGCAGTAATTTTAAACCCATAACAAGGACACCGTGGCAGCTTTAGAGTGTATTCTTGAGAGCTGTCTGTCACAGTTCTTATGCTTAATCTTTTATACTTAAAAGGCAGAAATTAAGCGTCTTCAAGAGGCTAACAAGGCTGCTCGGAAGGAGAGACAGCTGATCCTTAAACAGCAGGCGGAAATAGAACGAATCCGTCAGACTACAATGAAACTGCAGGAAAAACTGAAGTCTGCAGGAGAAAACAAGCTGGTAAGTGTTCAGGACAGAAGCTGGAGTCTTCACTCTTTGGCTGTGCAGCTGGTATTTGACTTCAGTGTTTATAGGAATGGAAAGCTACTAGATTGGACCTATCACTTGGAAGTTTTGTCTGCCTCAAATGGTCTCATCCTCTTCATCTCAGCAATTTTAGGTTTAATTTCTTTAAAGTATTGTTTAAGGAAATGCATTTGGAGAAGTTACAAAATGTTTTAACTGGACAATAGATGGTGTTTGCTAATTCTGAAGTTTAATTAATTAGTTTAGGAATACCAGTTTTTGATGCTTAGATCTCTCAGGCTCTGATTTTGTTTGATTATTTGTCAGACCCCAAAGAACTAAATGCAAGCACTAAAACCAAAACTTGCTGCTTTGTGTGTGTGTTAGTGTCATTACACTAAGTTTCCTGCATCTGCTTTATGAGATAGCAAGACGGGGTTTTGATAATTGTCTGCCTCCTTACAAAATTTTGAGGAGACCCAAGTTTAATAATAGTAGTGTCAAGAGGATTGGTTTCCTGTCTGGGTAACTGAATTACGGTGGGGTTTTTGTTCTAGGTACAGTTAGGGGAGAACTTAAGTTATGGAGAAAAAGGGTGCACTAAAAACTTTGTGTCAAATAAAAATGAGGTTGGAAAATGAAGTTAAATCTGCAGGTGGACAGGCTTCTCTGAAGTAGTATTTGATGTATTCTCTGGAGAAATAACCTAAATTAACAACATTTTTGAAAAGATGGTAGAATAACTTTTCCCTCTTTCAATGTTAATTTTTTTTTTTAAACACTTAATTGCAGGAACTTCACAGTGAGGATGATATCAAGCAGAGCAATGGTTCTAGCCCACTTCCAACTGATGCAGAAACACGCAGCCCTTCCCCAATCTCAATCTCCAGCAGTGAGACTAGTAGCATTATGCAGAAACTTAAAAAAATGCGCAGCAGAATGGATGAAAAGTAACTAATTTTTTTTTTCTTATACAAAAGTTTACTATTTTAATAGAACAAGTTGTTTTGGCCAGTATCTGCACTAAAAATGGCCATCAGAAAAATTAGAGGTATTGATATCACATACACTTTGATCTGAGTTGCCTGAAAAATAGCTGATTGGAAGCATTAATAGAACTATTAATCTTTGCATATAGTATTTTAAAGGCTACAATTCTTGCATGAATACTGAGATTCAAACATTGCTAGCTGACAGACCATGTGGTCAAGGTTTTATTGTAGAATATTGGTTTTAATACTCTTTGTACTTGATGGAGTCAGTAAAAGCACATCAGTGTAAGAGATTTTGATGTTTGTACATACAAGGAACTTAGACGGGCTCCAGCTTGATGATACATCTTGTCACAGTTCCTCTTGCAATGAGACTCCTGAAGTCAGTTGGTCAAAGTAGTGCCTGTACTTTGTGTATCTCTCTTTTTTTTTTTTAAAGGGGAAAAAATATAGGGAGTGAGACTCTGAAATTACAGTACCAATTTTTATCTTGAATTGAAACATAAGTTATAAATAGCAATAGTCCTATGCAAAAACTAGTAACTGAGTTTGAGATCTGTCTCACAGAAAGTCATTGAGCTTGTTGGGCACATGATTTCAACCTTATTATCCAGCTGCTGAATTTCAATTCTAATTGCATTAAAATCAGCTGTGGGTGAATTATGTAAGTTTTTTTTTTAACAGAGGTGGTATGTGTGTGACCGGCAGTTAATAAGACCTTTCTTTTCCTCCTGTGTGGTCCACAGGTTGGAAAAAAGTTGAAAAGGGTTGTTAGTCTTCAGAGGAAATAACAAAGTATATGTGCAGTTCCTGGGTCTGAAAACTAAGACTGAATCTGTTTATTTCACCTGTTAAATTGTTTTAAATCAAAAATTGTTTCTGCATCTTTTCAGTATAGGAATTACTTTGTCTGCAATAGACATCCCAAATGCTTTACTGGCATTTACCATTAGTTTGAAGCCTTAAACTCTTATTTGAGACTAATTCATTAAAAGTCTGGCCTCTGCCGGTTACCTCAAGAAATAGTCTTTGCTTAAACAATTTTTTTTGAACTTATAACCAAGGTAGGTCACTATATTTTAGTCCATATGGGTGATCTTTGTAATGTTTTTTATCTTGAGACTCCTAACACAGGTGGATAAAACATCAAAAAGCAAGCACTGCCATTTGTAAAGGCAAGCTGTCTGTGACTCCTTAGCACCCGATTTGCTTGTAATCATTTGAGAAGCACGTTTCCCACACTTCCATGTATTTGTATATGATGAAGATTGAAACCCAAAGTAGAAAGTGAGGATTTGGTGTAAGTAGGAAAAAACAAAAAACATGTTCTAGTTACATGGTCTTCATGTTCTAGCCTGAAACGATTGCTATTTTATTCAGAGTCTTCTGGTAGGATTTGGTAAACTGAACAGCCAAAATCACAAATTATTTCAAGTTTCTGAAGTGTCATGTTTCCGAAATTAAACTCTTGGCATTCCAAGTTGTGTGAAAACCACTCCATCGTTATAGCAGCAAGCTCTTCCTTGAAGTACGTTTTGAGGTTGGTAAATCGCTTAAGATGGGGACTTGAAAAGGACGTGCTCTATAGGCTGCATTGACTTCTAGGGTTTCAAGAAAACAAGATTTTTCTTCTGGTCCTTTTTTGCTTGTTTTTTAAAAAGAGGGTCTTATTTTTTTCACCCAAGATTCAGCATACAGAATTTCAAATGGTGATACAGTGTTACAAAACCAAGTTACAGCTTATGAATTTTGAGATTGTATTGATACTATAAGAGATGACAAACACGCTTTTAAATTCAAGACTTCCTATGCTTTTTTTACCAAGTAGTGTTTTTGTCAGTATTGGTTTTGAAATCTTATTTTTTCAAAGTGACTTCATTTCTAAGCAACGCTTATGATTACAGAAGAATTACATATTAATAAATAATTGTTCTGACTATTATAAGGGATAGTAGTAGTAACGAAGTATGTTCTACCTTTAAAGATATTTTAATTGTCAGTCCAAAATATTGCTCACCTGGAGAATACTTTTCAAAAGGTGGATAGTGGGATTTGAGCTGAAACAACTGCTTTTAGGAGGAACAAGTGGAAATGGTGTGGGGTATACTGTGTGTGGTCGTGTATTTTTGGTTTTATGGTTTTATCTTGCATTGCTATATATTTTCAAAGGAAGTATTTTGTGTAAACATAAATGATTCTTTAGAACTCCATCTTCCTAATTGTATACCTTTTGCAGGTATTCTGATAGTGACAGTGCTTATTGATTGAAAAACAGTGCTGACTTGGTATCTTTTTTTAAATGTCTTTATTTGTAAAACACATAAGAATAATATTAACAGAGTAAGACACTTGGTTGTAATGATAGGAAGCTGCCATTTGAAGGCAATCAATCAGGTTGTGAGATATGGCAAAAGGAAAGAAACTGAATGATGAGTAAAGTACAAAGGAGCTAGAGGAAGGACTTGGAAAAGCCTGCTATGCTGGATTTGCTGAACGCTATAGCAAGGCAGAAATCCTTTGGCTTCCTTACTTATGAGGCAGCTTTAATATTTCTCTTCTAAAAGGGAATGAAAGAATAGTTCTGTTTTAATTTTTAATTGATGAGTCTGTGTAGCCTGCATGTGAACAGGAGCATGCTCTGTCAAAGAGAATTAACCACTTTCCCCTTTCCTTGCATATGCAACTTTAATGATAATCTGTGCAACAGAAGAACTGATTGAATGCTCATTTTCTTTTGCTTTTCCTTAATATGCTACTTAGCTTGCATTGTAGCATGGTATTTTTCTATAAATATGATAATTCATTGGGTATTAGCTTAAAATGGTAATTCATTAGGAAATACCATTTTAAACACAGCTATAAGTTTATGTAGATTTTTTTTTTTAAATAGGCATTATCTCTCTGCAGTTAGTACTTCAAATGAAAGAGGCAATACAATGGGTATTCTGAGACCAAGTCTGCACTTTGTTGCAAAAAAACCAAAATAGCAGCTAAAAGTTGAATTACAGGTATATCTCAGACTTTTCCTGGAATTGCTCATGTTTTAGAAATACGTTATTTAATCTCTTTTATTTTTGCCCTTTCACTGGTGCTTACCTTTGGAGAAATAATTTTACTGAGGTTTCGCCAGGTGAATGAAAATGTGTTTAAAGTTTCAGACTAGCAAGTTGTTCATATCACAAAGCCAGCATGCTATTTAATGCTAATGATATACTCCATTGACAGTTAGAATAGCAGGAGTTGCAAAAAGATCAGGTTGAGATGTTTTAACCGGTGCATGTGGAAGTCTGCATCAAAGTAATAAAACTCCTTCCCAAATTTAAAGAAAAATATAGCAGTATTAAAGTAGCTTGCCTTTAATTAACAAAAAACAAAGTGTTATAAGTGTATGTGTTCTATTACCTTCTGCATAACAGTGTATAGTTTTTCTAGTTCAGATATTGGATAATAACTATACAATGTTAAATGCAATTAATTTTAAAGTTCTTTGCTAGATGCTATCCTTTTCTCGTTCTTTCTGCCTTTTTTGCTATCTTAGTTTTAAACTCTTCCTCCTTATTTTGTAGACACTGCTCTCCTGTTCACTACTTCTTCTCTGTCTTTACGTCTCACCACTGGGCCTCTCTCAGTGTCTGTTTTCCCAACCTCCACCCCAAATTCCAGCTGTATATCTACAACCAATTGGTCAGGTAACTGTATCTTTCTCAAGTGATAGACTCTTTGATAGAGCATGCTCTGTTCAGTCCCAGAAAGTCAAGATGTTCTTCATCAGAGAACGTTTTTGACACTTCCCTCACTGTTTCCGGATCTTTATTAATGACATAGACAGTGGGATTGGGTGCACCCTCAGCAAGTTTGCAGACAACACCAAGCTGAGTGGTGCAGTTGATTCACTAGAGGGAAGGGACACCATCCAGAGAGACCTTGACAGGCATGAGGAGTGGTCCAGTGTGAACCTCATGAAGGTTAACAAGGCCAAGCACAAGGTCCTGCACCTGGGTCAGGGCAATCCCCAGTATCCATATAGGCTGAGGGATGAATGGATTGAGAGCAGGACTTGGGGATGCTGGTGGAGAAAAAAAATGGGTGTGAGCTGGCAATGTGCGCTCGCAGCCCAGAAAGCCAACTGTATCCTGGGCTGCATAAAAAGAAGCATGGCCAGCAGGTCAAGGGAGGTGATGCTCCCCCTCTACTCTGCTCTCACGAGACTCCCATCTGGAGTACTGCATCCAGTTCTGGGGTCCAAAGTATGAGAAAGACATGGACCTGTTGGAGCAGGTCCAGAGGAGGGCCACAAAAATGATCAGAGGGATGGAACACCTTTCCTACGAAGAAAGGCTTGAGAGAATTGGGGTTGTTCAGCCTGGAGAAGAGAAGGCTCTGGGGACACTTTATTGTGGCTTTTCAATATATAAAGTGGGCTTATGAGAAAAATGGAGAGACTTTTTACCAGGGCCTGTAGTGATAGGACAAGGGGTAACAATTTTAGACTAAGAGATGGTAGATCTAGATCAAATATAGAGAAGACATTTTTTACGATGAGGGTGGTGAGGCACCGGAACAGGTTGCCCAGACAAGTTGTGGATGCCCTATCCCTGAAAGTGTTCAAGGTCAGGCTGGATGGGGCTTTGAACAACCTGATCTAGTAAAAGGTGTCCCAGCCCATGGTAGGGGGGTTGGTCTAGGTGATCTTTAAGGTTCCTTCCAACCCAAACCATTCTATGATTCTAATCTCTTATTCCTACTGTGTTCTGAGTGGCAGACAGACAGTTCACTTTGCTCCCACTGTCTGATCACTACTTCAGAATAGCTGCTGAAACTCTCTAGTTTGGACTTAAAGTCAGTATATCTTGGATATTAATGTACAAGTACAGGTTAGAGCAGAAGGATAATGCTTCCAGGTTAATATGTGGAATGCATGGATAAAATTTGTGATGTTAGCACCAGAGAAATAATTAGACTTTGAAATCATGCTGGTGTAATCTGAGTGCTGCTGCTTCCTCTTTGCTCCCCCCGATTTCCAGCTTCACAGATGCCAGATGTGGTTTTGCATTTTTTTTCTGTGAAGGTGCCCCTGCTTTTGAGAATAAATGTGTACCCTTGGTGTTGCAACTGGAACCCTCTAGACAGTAGTAACTATTAAGACAGTGTGTGTGCTACCTTCTGGCTCTGACCTTTTAAACCCCAGGGTTATAAAAGGGTCTGCATCTTTAGCCATGCTGCTTTAATCCTCCTCTTCCTATAGGTTGAATGTTGGAACCCTCTTTGTCTCCCATCACTTCTTTTGACTTATCTTTCTTATTAAGTAGTCTTTGTGTGGTGATTAGTTTCATGGTCATTTAGTTAATTCTCCTCCTGTTGTGGTCTTCTGGGTTAATTCATTTGACATCTGCTTTTAAGGAGTCCTGTTCTTTTGAATCCGTTTATTTCAGCCTTTCTCTTGCGTTTTATTTCGACTGGACTTGCCTCCCTCAAGATCCAGTAAACTCTGAAGATCCATACATTCTGATGAAATCAAACAGTGCATGAAGGAAGAAGAAAAAGTTGTAATTATCATTGTAATAATGACCTCCATAACGAGTTCCAAATACATAATCTGCTAGACTAATTGGACCTGATGCGTATGTGAAAGTAAGAGTTGGTAAATCTGATCGTGCTGGTGAAAGACACAACATAAACGTGACTGTCCATGTCATGTTTGTAATGAAATTACTGTTGGTAGTCTAGTTTCTTAGCGATACTAATCTGTCAGTTTTGCCTAAGAGTAGATGATGTTTGATGTTTTTCTATATAAAGTGAAAAAGTAATGCACAAAATCATGGAATCTGTCAGCTTGAAGGTGGCAGGTGTTCCAGAGACTCTGAGGTGCTTCTATTTTTCACCTGTTCTTGTTCTGACTGTAGGAAAGAAGATTGTGGGCATGTCTTACTGGCTTCTGAAACTTCTATCTTCACATCATAACTTGTCCACCTTATCTGAATCTGTCTTAGAGAAGGACTTACCTGAATCTTAAACTTTCTGATCAGCTGCCAGCTCACTTTTCCAGGGAACAGAATGAATGCTAAGTGAGCAAACAAGAAATGTCCCTTAGCAGGCGAGACCTGCAGATTAGCCAGTCGGTCATTCCAGTCTGTGTAAATAAAAGGGGTTTTTGAAACATAAGAGATTAAGAAGCACAGATGAAATTATTATCTTATTGCAGCTTAAAAACTTTGATGCGAAGTGTTTGGGATGGCTTGAAAATTACAAATTATAAAGGCATTTGCAAAGCAAAATATCACAAGTCTTTGAAGACTGCCTTTTTAGGCACCACACCTTCTGTACCAATGACAAAGTCTCACTCTAGCTGGCAAACCATGTATTTCCTACAGAGTGATTTCTATGACATCTTAAAAATTTCAGTGTAGGAGATGAATGGATTGATAGACACTCTTCTCTAGACTTGGCATGTCCGAGGAAGTGTGTGTGATTGATATTGAACTTGCTTCCATTTACAGTCTTAAAGGTTAGATGCTGTGGTCTTGGTTACTTCAGCGTTTAGAAATAAGACCGGAGATGCTGTTGTTCAAGAGCTGGTAAAGAGAACTAGTATATGCACACAAACCTATTCATACCTACAAAGTTCTATAAGAATTTCCTCATTTCTGAGGTTTCATGGATCACCTAAGAAATATTTGTCAGAAAGAAAAGTACTGCTAATTTTCAGCATGAGCTTTACTTTTTATCTGTTCTTAAACTAGCAGCAATACATGTTAGTAGCTGGAAAAAACCAGTCCTGCATCCTTATTCTCTTGATGCTGTCAGCTCACAATTAACATTCCAAGTGTGGCAATCCATAGAGATGATGCTTAAAGGAAGAAGGATAAAAGCTCCAGTAATTCAGGAGAATATTAATACAGAATCACCTTCTCTTATAATTATGTGTTTGGAAAGAACAGTGGGGCAACTGGAGTTACAATTTTTCTGTCATTGGGATTAGCAAAAAGAAAGGTTCATTTTTCAAACAGCCACTGCTTTCTTGAGGGTTCCAGTTTAATACCACAGGTGCTTTTCATGTCCTGAAATTGGGAACTTATCCTGTTCATTTTAGTGAATAGTTAGTAGCACTTTTAATGATTTTAAAGATCTTTAAAATGTAAGCAGCATGTTTACAGTATGTTGTAGACTTTACTTACTGCAAAGAAAAAAAACCTCTCATCTACTTGTGGTTTTTTTCAGCAGCACATCAGAATTCTAGGTCATAGTAGTTAGAGTGGATATTATCCTAGAAAACGATTTGAACAACTATAATTCTGGGAGTTTTGGCAATAGAGCATCTGGGTATTGGGACCTTTGAGTGTGGTTGGCTGTTTTCCCATTGTCTTCTGCTCTGTCTGTCAGGTTCCTAACTAAGCGGGAACAGAAGCTGATGCAGCGTCGACAACATGCTGAAGAATTGTTGGAGTGGAAACGCCGTCTGGATGCAGAGGAAGCAGAAATAAGGCGGATAGAAAAGCAGGCTCTAGCTGCCTGGGACAAAGAGCTGCTCAAAACCAAAATAGGCAAGAAGGACCTGGGGGATCAGAGAACTGAGCCCAGAGGTAATAGGAAGAGGGGGGAAGTGATGCAAATGGCAAGAGTAAAGCATAATTTGACACAGTTGCTTAGGTTTGCACTTTCTTCCTTTTTTGATGTTTTGGTGGTGGTGGTTCTTCTCTGGATGCTCTTAGAATCTCGATTTCTGCACTCTTTACTGCCTTCTGTTGCCTTGCTCTTTTAGCCCTGTTTTACACCTTAGTTAAATGTGTATTCCTCCTTTGCTGTGTATCTTCTCAAATGAACAGTGCAGCATAGGCCCATCAGACAACTATATTTCTGTCTTTCAAAACAAAAGTACTGCATGATCTTTTGCTGATTGTCTTCTGAACTCACTCCATTAAAACCATTTTCCCCTGTAGTGCTGTTTGAGTGTGTATCCTGTTAGCCTTATTACTGTGCGTGAGGATGGCTCTTATCAGGGGCTGCTTTCTCCTTGTCTGTGTCTTCAAAAAATTGAAAGCATTTTTTCCTTCCCTCTGTTATTAATGCAGTATAATTGTTTGAAATTTGCAACTGTGCTAAAGTGTGCTAGGATGTAATTAGTATAAATGATGCTATTGTGAGGAAAAATAAGTTCCCAGATGTCGGGAGCTACAGCTTTGCTGTTCTGTCTTAAGTGGACCATACTTTCAGCATGAAGCACAGAGAACTGGATTGCAGTGGGAGTAAATAATGAAACTTCAGAGATTGTTCTAGAAATAATCAGTTTTCCTTTTTTTCCCCACTTTGCTTAAAGCAGGCAGCATGTCCTTTGAGCGTGCAAAGGGAATTCAGAATTATGCCCTATTACACTTGTTACTGAAAACAGTCATGTGGATTTTAGGCATTGTAAGACATTTTAAAGATGATATGCATATGAGTCAGTTCCAATGAACAAAAATTCTGCATGAATGTTGAATTCTCATCAACAATTGAGAAAATACAGTTGCTTTCTATTAATTGTATCTAACAGTAAGCGTTGGAGCAGGGCCGTGCTTCATAAGTTCCTCTCCCCAGCCTTTGCTCAAATATTGAATAGTTCTCCATGGCTGCTTCAGTAATGCTGTGACTCCTGTGGAATTTAGTAAACAGGAATATTGAAAACCCAACTTATTATTTTACTTGTTGCCAGTTGAGAGACTCATGATGAAATCATAACATTAAAATGTTTTCTGCAACTACTGTAGAGGAAGCAATCAATTCTAAATTCAAGATCTAGCTTGCCAATTATATGCTCCTCCATGACTTCTTCAGACTAATAGAGACTCTTGCTGGTGTATGGTCAACTGGAAGGACAGGTTTCCCTAATAATCTTTTCAGAGTGTGTTGTCTGGAAAATGTTAGAATATCCTGAAAACCCCTTTTTTGTAGACATTCAGCAAGCACTAAGAATGTTTGACAGTCTTAAATCATAGTTCTCTGTTAAACATGCTTGTTCTTGCTTAATATTCCACCCTCGGTGTCTAGGTGAGTGAAATAACACTAATTTGACATGTATTGGTAGCAGTTACTACTTTATATGCAGGCAGCAGTATCTCTGAAGGCATATCAGTTAGTGCAAGTTCTTAGGTGATTTGTTTTTTTTTCTGTCATTATTTGATCTCAGAAACGGCTAGTGAAGAAGAGTCTCCAGTGCCTTCTTGCTCTCATCTGAACAGTGAAAGCTCTATCCCAGAAGATCTTGGCAGTCCAGCTGCTGAATCTGTCCCATCAGAGACTATGGGCCATGGACAGCCAGAAAGCCCAGAACAGAGTACAACTAATGAAGAAATGGTTTATTCTGAAGAGTTCAAGTCCTCTACCTCACCTGGCAAGCTTGTGAGTGAGCTTTTTATGCTATATATATTTTTACACTGTAAAAGGATATCAGAGAATTAGTAAGTATAGCTGTCCCAGTTGTCAAAGCAGAGATTAAACTATCCTGTGTTTGCAATACCATTTTATATTACTGTCAATAAACATTGTGATCAGATATGTTCTTTGAAGTCTTGAGGAAAAATTGCTTCAGCAGAGTTTAGGTATTTTTAAACTAGTGGGTAGTCTTGCAAAATGTTTTGCGTACGTCACATAGGTATGCAGTATTAAATGGTGGAACATTGACCCAGTTTACCAGTGTGAATTAGCTGTAGGCTAGCTTGTTACCATTGTATAAATTCTTTGAGGCCGTGGAAACTATGCTCTGTTTTCCGCTTTGCTTTGCTTGCAAGTAATGTATCCCAAAGTATAGCTATAGGATGAAGAAGCAGAGCTGTAATGTCATGCACAATCCTTTGGGTTTCAGATTATGTCTGCTTGCTAGCTAATTCTGCCTTAGTGTTCTATTGCAACTGTTATTTCTACTTGGTTGATAATTTTGATAAGTTTCATCCTGATAACTTTGCTCTGTGCTCAGTGGGACAGAAAATGCAGTGTCTGTGGTGTAAAGGAACTGCTCATCTAGACTTGTTACAAATACTTTCTTGGAAAAAGTTTGCTGAGAAGATGGTGAGGTAAAATATCTAATATGTTCTAGAGGTTATGTTCAAGGTGTGTGAAAGGTTTGTGGTATGATGTTGCAGCAGTAAGAGCATTTTGGAAGAATATTTGCTCTTAGAATTTTTTGCCTCACTGCCTCGCTACAGAGAAATAGTGCTCTGTCATTTCACTGATCTAGAATGGCATCTTGCACCCCTTACATGAAATGGTCGTTTCAGTTTCACCAGTATATTTTTTAGGAGTTCCTATTGCTGTGGTTGTTTCAAATAAGATTACATAAACTGTATTGAACACCTGTGAGTCAGAACCATGTCAGTTCACTTAGGTAGTAATAGAGTAGTCTAAGCAGGTTTACTGAAATCTAAGCTCAAAGTAAGCTGTCAGTTATTGCTGCTCTTGGTATTTTTATTTTATTGTCTAGCAAAATAAGATTAAATTCTTCTTAAGATAGCTGGATAGGTACCAGTGCTTATGAGATGTTCTCTAGTCATGCTGTTCTTTCCGTGTAACTAGCTCCTGATGACAATGATCTCCTACTTTCAAACTGAGGTTTACAAGCAATTACTTGTCCTTTTCTTCTCCCATAGTCTCCTCCCAAAAGCAGCATATCTGTATCAAAGCAAGATTCCAGCAAAGGCAGCCATAGAACTGGAGGACAGCTGCGTTCACCTGTGAAGTCTCATCAGATACCTCACAACTGGTCTGATGAATCTTTATCTATGACACAGTCAGGTAAGTGTAATATGTGCTTGGGTTTAAATTGCTTTTTCAAAGCTCTTGCTTTTAACAAGTGAACTTGAAATGCAGACATACATGTGGGGAGGCAGACAATTTCCTGGAAATTGCCAAGATTTGGGGTTTTGTGGGAGTATTTTCCCATGATGTAATTTGATCACTTCAGCTTAAGAATGTCTTAATGTAAGACTGTCTATATATTATCTCTTCTTCTAGAAAGCAACACAGGTTCCTGCAAACAGCTATGAAGATGAGAGTCAATAGTTAAGTTGGTCCTAAAATTTAAAAATACCAGGGTTAGCTGTGCTTTTAACAGGTGACACTGCTCCACCCCTCATGTTATAAGAAAGCAGAATATGCTTCAGCAGCATACAAACATGATCATCCTCCTTCTGAACACAACCTGGCTCCAGAAGCAGTATAGCTCTGTTATCATGGCAGTATGAGTGAGCCCATTGGACCTGCACTGGCATGTGCAGATTGAATGGATGCTTCAGGATGTATGTTTTTATTTTTGGAGGAGAGTTTGAACTGTGTGCAGTAAAATAGGGCCTAAGATTGTATTTTGAGCTATAAAACTTAAGATCTACTGTATGGACATTTTATCACAGGTCTTTTATCCAGTATCCAAGCTGGCTACCAGTAAATTCCGAGGGAGAAAATATTAGAAGTGAACTGGTACAGTGCAGTCCTTTCCCTGCTGTGCTCTTGCAGTCTGTTAGTCATGTGGATTGAAGGACTTCCTGAGCCACCATTCAGTGGGTCACAATCATCAGCTCTGTTAAGCTGTGAAGTCTGTTTTGAACCTTTCTGTGCTTTTAGTCTCTAAAACGTCATGCATTCTGTAGTGCTGTTGATATAGCATCATAAAATACTTATTAGCAAATGAGAGAGCATTTTTCTGCTTGGGTTTTTTTAATTCCCTAAATGATGAGTAAGTCTTTAGTGGAAGAAGAATTAGGTGGTTCTGTTGTATGTACAAGCTGTTGTTTGTGATAGATGGATAACTTACTGGCATGCGTACATATCCAGTCTTTGTGGTGCTTGATGTAGCAAGCTTAACAATATTTTATGCTGGGTTTTTTTTGTTAATATGTATGTAAGTACAATAGAAACACAGTAATTTTGAGGCAGCTGTTCTCCTGCTGGATAGAGAAATGAATACGTAACACCTAGGTATTTGCACTGAGTAATTTGTATTGGGATTCTGTCTGGAGAGCAGCTTGCAACACAATGAAGCATTCAGCAACTTGATAAAGTTATTTTCAAGTTCTGACTGAGCAACCACATAAGGAAGCCATTATGAAAAGCAGAGCAGGCAACAGTGATCATGAAAATAAACTTCTGTAAAATAAAGTATTTGCAACCTTTGATTTCAAATGCTGAAGAAAGGTATGAGAGGTGGGAAGCCAATCAGGATGGTGCTGTTTACACAATAAATCATTCCATTGTAGAGAGACAAATCTTCCAAGCTGCTGAGTAGTAATGAAGTCATTGCTATGTCAGTCTCATGCATGTGTAGGCAAGATCATCAAAGATGAAAGCATATGAAGATCTTTCCCTTATGAGTTGATCAAGAAAAGCTATAATTACATAGTGGTCACTTACTATTCGGGAGGAGTTGTTAATTACAGTGGCATCATAAAGTACTCCTGATTAGCAAGTGAGATTCCATCCTTTTTGTGCTTGGTTGGTTGTTTTTTTAAATTCTCTAAATGGTTAACAACAGTTGTTAATGGAAAAAGAATACAGTAGTTTGACTGTATTACTGACTTATTGATGATGAAATCATTATGGTGGTTTGCTGTCTTGAGAAATGAGATTGATTAGCAAAGTGTCCAGCAGTTCCTGCTAGCTGACCAAATAATACTGATGACTTACTATCTAGGATGTTCAGTAAAGCAATTGGCGCTTATGAGCATCCAAGCCTTTTGGTACAGGAAAACATTATAGGTGATACTGAGCATTAGAAAAGCATACCAGCCAAGATCCTTCTCTTAGGAGCTGTAGCTGCTGCTATAGAAGAGGAAGGGGGACATCAGCTGCAGGGAGGAGCTCCACTAACACTATGTCAGATAAATATTTTGAAGAGTTTTTGATACCTAATTGTGGTAGACCAATCTGGGACAAGGATCTTGTTTTGAACTATGTTGGTATACATCTAAAACAAGAAACAAGTGAACATAATCAGGTGGGCAGAAAAGAATAAGTAAATGAGACACTGGGACAGTCTCTCTATAAAATCTGAGAAGTCTGAGAGACTAAGAGATTGTTAGAGCAGGAATAATGAAAGTAGCAGAGTTACTGGTAGAATGGGATTATCATGCAGAGAATGTATCTAAGTATCTGGGGACAGTGTCCCAACAGAAAAGAGGTAGAACATCATCAGAAGGACTGGAAGACCAGGTTGCAGGGATTTCTGGGGATGGAGGGGAATGGAGGAGATCTTATTAAAATTACTCAGGATAATGATTAAGAAAATATTGTTCAGGTGGAAAATAGCTACAGTCAGTAATGGCATCATAGGAGAATCTGTAAAATTGAACTTGGAGCAAAGATATGCCAAGTAGCTTTGTATAAGCTATTATCGAGTAGTCCACCACATGTGAGCTCAACACTACCCTCATTCACCCCAAATAAATTGTCATCCTGAGGCCTGACAACAGTGAAAATCTCTGTATTGTTCAAACTGACTTTCCTTCCAACTGTTGACCAGTCAGCTCTCCATTTCATAGATGTATTTAGTCTAGGTGGCAGAAAAACTAAATGGACCAGAAACCTAAACTTTTTTGGAGTCCACTGTTCCAAATGAAATTCTCATCGATGAAGTGTACCCTGTAGCTTGAAACTGTATATTGTGATTGTAAACAAATATTTCAGATATATATTTTTGGTATGCATCTTTGAGTTGTTATATTTTTAAATGTCAGAAAAAAAAATAATTTTTGCAACAGCTGACATGATAAGCAGTTGATGAGGTAGCAGCATAAACATGGGTGGTTGATGTGAACAAGTTTGGTGACAAGTTACTGTGTGTATCAGAGCCTTTCTCTTCTAAATTAAATAAGATGCAACACTTTTTCGTATGTTATATCATAGTGTTGTGATTCTGAGATCCCACTTTAAGAGTCTTATGTTAAGATTAACGTATTGACATTAAATTCTTTGATATTTTGCTTGGACCATGTTTTGTATTTACTAAATGACTGTTTATTGCTTTGCATAGAACTGTTTTGTGAGGTGCAAGCTTACAAAGACTAAAACTGAACTTTTTCAGAAACCACATCTGATCAAAGTGACATTGAAGGACGGATCAGGGCCCTGAAGGATGAACTACGGAAAAGAAAGTCTGTGGTTTACCAGCTGAAAAAGGAACAGAAAAAGAGACAAAAGGAGAGACTGAAGGCCCAGGAAGCCAGTTTGATCAAACAGCTGGAGGTTAGGAACAGCAGGAAGAAGGGCAAAGTAAAAGATTGTTAGCCTTGGATAAATCATTACAATATGGATGTTGCTGGCAGAATATTGTATCAACATCTGTGAAAGACACATTATTGCAATAGAAGTGTGACTGTGTTCTGGCTATTTAACTGTTTTCAATAATGAACCAGGGCCTTGAGGCAAAAATGCCATTAGTTTTTTAAATTTATGTCTTTAATGGGTTACTAGCAGCTTTCAGAGGGCTTATGTATGTTTGTACACATTAGTATCCTAGCTTGGATTAAGGAGTGATACTCATGTAATTTGTTTTTGAAAGCAAAGTATTAAAATTTCTAGGATTCACAACCGAGAGCTTTAGGAAGTTAAATAGATTGTTTTACAGAGAAACCGCATGTATCTTTTATTAATTTAATAGGTTTTGATTGCTGAATTGTAGTTACGGTTTAGTAGACTAACAGCCATAACTGTTTTCCATGTGCAGTCATATGATGAGTTTATCAAGAAGACTGAAGCGGAGCTGAGCCAAGACCTGGAGGCATCACCAACAGCCAAACCTCAGATTAAAACTCCACCCTCAGCTGCTGCTGAAAAACCTAAGATCAAGGCACCACCGCTTCACAGGTAACTGGGATTTCTTCTTTTTGAGAGTATTCTGAGAGCATGATGAATACTGTTTTAGCAGAAACCATGAGTGCAAGGAAAGCTGGTAACTGCTCTTCTTCAAAGCACTGGACAGTGGCAGTATACTGTTGACATATCTGCTGGTCTCATCAGACCCAAAACAGATAAGATGGACTGTCCTGTAATTGTATGCATCTCACTTTTTGTCCTGCCCAGTTTTCCAGATCCTATTTTCAAGTTCTTTCTGAACAGTATTTTTCAGTTATGCAAGAATCATAGAATTGTGCCAAATGGCTGGATGGATTACAGACCTGAAGGAATTTTTTTCCCATTTTGGTCATTCATTATGCCTGCTGCACTGTGTGAGGCAAACCGTTCATCTTTGCAACTTAAATCTGGTTTATATCTTAGGTTTTAAAAGGTAGAGAGAGAATTCAACTGAATTCTGCACTTCCTGCTGTATTTTTAAGAGTTTCATTTTCTCCAGCAGATGGTGCAATTTTATTGCATTCAAGTAAAAAAAAAAAAAGGGGGAGGGGTGTGTCTCTTTTTTTGGCTGCAAAAAAAGCTAAAGTTTGATTAGACTTTTAAAAAATTACTTTCCAGGACTTGCCAAACTCTCCTTTCTGTCCCTATTCCTATTTTCTAAGGTCACAGCATGTTGACGAAGCAAACTGTTTATTATTATTGGTGTGGTATTATAATTATAGATGCTTGTATTTCCATTTTTATCTATTAAAAAAACCCAAAACAATACACTCTGGTGTAACCATGATTCATGCCATCTGATTTTTCAAATTTAGGCCTGAGACAGCTAAAAACTGGAAATCACTGGCTGAATCAGAGCGATCCAGAGCATCTTTGGAATCCATTTCAGAGCATGCAGGTATGTAACTGGAAGAATCTGTACTACAGATTAAGATCTTGAAGACTGACTGTTTTAAATTTCTTTAATCTTTTCCTTCTTGATTCACGAAGAGGTTTTAATAGAGCATGCAGACTTCATAAAACCATAATGATCAAACTGTATTTTTTACTATTTTTATTTAGCAGGATTCTGCTTTTGCTGTTTCCTGTATATTCAGTATTTAGTTTCATTCTTGCTGAGGTTTGTGTGAAACCATAATTGCATGACAACCTTTTTCCTTTCTTTTGTTTTCTGTTCCTTTATCACTTGAGGAAAGTAAGGAAACAAAAAATAGAGAAGAATTTAGGAATAGGGTTTTTTTGAGGTACTTTTCAATGTTTTGCTGTTGATCATTATCTAACCATTATCTGCAATTCTAATCTCGCTTGTATTTGCAGCTTGCAAACAAATAACTGAGTCCTTACCTTGAGCTCAGTATTGTATGGCATTATGAAATACTGGTACAAGGAACAGAACCAGAAACTAAGTGTTGGAACCCTGCAACTGAAAGAATGTTGCTCATGTTCACCAGACTGCTAGAAATATCTTTCCAAGGCACTAGTTTGTATCTTCTTTTAGCATAGAAACGTTGTTGTTAATTTTGTTGCCTATGGTTGCAGTTTTCCATAAAACAATGCAGGCTATATGATCTGCTGTAATTCACTTTTTATTTTCCTTCAAGATGCTGTGTCATCAAGAACTGAGAGATCAGTGTCTGTGCACATCAAGAAGGTGGCTGTGACAGATGTTCATGCAGAAGAACCTTCTGGAACATCTTCCTCTGTTTTAATGTCACCTAGGAGTTACAGAGCAGGATCTGGTGACTCCTTAGATAATGTACCCTCATCATCTCTTCTCAAAGACGTGAAAGACATTAGCAGGATATCCTGTGGGTCTATGAACAATGTGGTAAAAGCATCCAATGATGAGGCTGCATTCAGTCATAAATCTGAGATACAGGAAGACTTGGAATACATAAAGTCTGAGGAATATGAGATTGAAGGTTCTCATGTTAAGCCTTTGGAGAGTTCTGATGTCTTGCTGACATTAGATAAAGAACAGGAGAGCTCATTGGACATCCTTCCAAAGAAAGTCCTCCGTTCTGAAAATGATCACTCTCAGAAGGGACTCTTCGGTTTGGCTGTGGAAATTCTTCATGGTACAGAAGAAATCTTAGAACAGAGACTGGCAGATAAAGATGCTGTAACTGGCCCAAGTGTGGAAGAGTCTTCTCACAAACTGAGCAAATCAGCGGAGGAAAAAGGTTATCTGCTTTCAGAACAACTCTTTAGTCGAAAGGAGCCATCATACCTTGAAGACTTTGAAGCATCCTCTTCCAGAAAACAAGCATCAACTGAAGAAACACTTCCTGGGGAACATTACAATGATGACTTGGAAGCATCTCTTCTCTCTCCTAATGGGGATGCTCAGTCACTGACAGAGCGGTCACAGCACACACAGACCAGCAGAAGCAGATCCACCAGCCTTGGCAGTGATGGCGAAATCAGTGAATACCTTAGTGACAAGTCTCTCTCTCTCTCTGGCAGCATGCATTCAGAGAGGTTATTAGAACTTAAGTCCCCAACAGAACTTATAAAAAATACTGAACGCAGAGATGTGGAGCAAGAACAGGCCCCTACTGAATCACCGCTGTGGGCCTCTGTTTCAATCACAGAAGAAACAGATAGTTTGCCAAATTTCAACATTGGTGATAGAGTACTTGTGAGTAAAGTCCAGCCTGGAACATTGCAATTCAAAGGCCTGACTAAGTTTGCTAAAGGGTTTTGGGCTGGTGTGGAGTTGGATAAACCTGAAGGGAACAATAATGGAACTTATGATGGTATTAAATACTTTGATTGCAAAGAAAAGCATGGTATTTTTGCTCCTCCTCAAAAAATCTCTCGCATTACAGAAAGTATTGATAGCCTTTTAGACACAAATAAGGATGAAGACTCATCCTTTGATGATAGGCTGGAGAAGCAACACAAAGCTGAGCAGAAAGACAGACAAAGTTCCAAACCTGGCAAAGAGGATGAAAGCCAGAGCAGAGATGTAAGAGAGAACTATTCCCAGGATAAAGCTCCTGTGGACACAGCTGTTTCAGAAGCCTCAGCTGAGGAAAGAATTGATGAGGAGTCATCTCCTAAAGCAAACAGCATAAAGAAGATTTCTGTAGCTACTGAATCACTTGCCCAAGAACAGTCAGTGGTGGATTATCTGAAGCATGCTGTAAAAGAGGAGGCCAGCCTTGCTCCTCTCATTTCTGGTGTTGTGGATGAGATTTCTACTGTTCAGTCGGATGACATCTCAGATTTCCTTTCTGAAAAACTGGAGAGACAAAAGACACTGGGGGAAGAATGTGCTGAAAAGTTAGATGATCTCTCTCCTGGAGTTGTGGAGAAGCCTGCAACTCCACTTCTGGATTTGCTGACAAAAGAAAAGAACCAGTTAGAAGCCCAGCTTAGACTACCACTTAGAGAGGAAGAAAAGTCAAAAGACCAACTGGAAAAGGTCAGTTTGCTGACAGACAGTCTACTTAAAGATTTTGTGAAAGACACAGTCAATCAGTTACAGCAAATAAAGAAGGTCAGGAATGAGAAAATCCAGCTCAGCAACCAGGAGCTCTGTGATGTGAAGGAGGAATCCAGTATCCCATCCCAGCAGGTAGAAAAGCAGATTCCTGACGGACTGAACAACTTTTTTCTAAGTTCCGATTTGGAAGATGAAAGAGAAGAACTTTCTTCTCCAGACATGTGTCCCAGACCAGTAAGTAACAGCCATCTTGCACTGATTTTAAGAGTTGATTGCTCCTTTGACTGATGATGATTGAATCTGAGGAATGCAGTGTGGCACCAGTTTTTCTCCCAAGTTCTGTTCCGTGATGTGGAGATTGCCTGTATGTGTGTGTGTTCTTGTGTATACCAGTTCTCGGCTCATTTTGGTAGCCCTACAGGCTGAAAGACATATTTTGGCACATGAAAGTGAAAAATACTTCTTTTGGTTAGGTTGCATCCTGCTTACATGTTCAATTTGTATTTAATCCTTACCCTTAGTTTTTATTCTAAAAATGGCAAAATACAATAGACTGTAAACTTACCTCTGTCTATTCTTGATATGAAATAATCATACTCAAACATTATTAGTTGCTGTGGAAGGTCATTAAGGTGTCAGACTGCTCTATCCACTGAACTAGTATATCATGAGTAGTGGAAGTTCAAGCTTCCTCAGAACAGCCATTAATGATACAGATACAGGATTTGGCCTTTCTGCTGAAGATCCCAGTAAACCTGTCTGCTTTGCCATTGATCTCAATATATTATCATCACAGCTTCAGCCCATTTCACCAGTGTGAGCACTGCTCAGTCACTAAAACAGCCATCACCTGCTAAAAGCTTTTAGGCTGTTGATTTAGATCTAAGACTGCTGGTAAGTGAAGTGAACAGTTGTACATCACATTATCAGTTTTTTAAACCACTCAGCCTTTCATAAGTTAAACATTAGGACAGGCAGTGAGCAGGACACACAGTCTTTTAAGCTCTGTAGGAACCCTCTGAAAGCATTCATCACGAGTGGTAGAAACCCTGGGTATTTGAATCAAAACATTTCTAATTTTACTGTGGGCTATTTATTATTTTTTCTGAGTATTTGTGCATATAGTGCCAATTACATCAGTAGAGCATTTTAAAATGTAAGCTGAATTAGACAACAGTGTGACACCACTTTTATATTTACTCTGTGGCTCTTAATTCACAGGAGAGTCCAGTGTTTGGTGCCAGTGGTCAAGAAGAGCTTGCCAAGAGACTGGCAGAGCTGGAGCTCAATCGGGAGTTCCTGAGTGTGCTGGGAGATGATCAAGACTGGTTTGATGAGGACTATGGCCTGAGTTCCCGTAAGGTTCAGCAGAAGCAAGCTGAGGAACCAGCAGTGCTGCCCAAGGTAGAACCACAGAAAGTGCCAACAAAGCCATGTGAGGAGCCTTTGGCAGTCCCTCATACTGCGGTGGAGGTGGAAGGTATGGTGCATGCAGCAGCTGAGGAACTCTGGAAACTGAAAGAGTTGGGTCATGATCTTCAAAGTTTCAGCCTTCATACACATCTTAGTAGTACCCTCAAAGAGCAGGATACAGACACGATCAACAAGCAGGTTTATAAAAAGGTACAGTCTTCAGGCATTTTGGTCTTGCCCTTTGAATGTTTACCATGAACAACAGAAGCCTTAACTTTTACTTCTTTCTTTAAGGTGGTATTTGATTTAACAAGAGAGATCTTTGGGGAAATCTTTGCTGAGGATCCTAATCTAAATCAGCCTATTTGGATGAAACCATGTAGGATTGCATCTGCTTACTTTCGCCGAGTAAAAGACCCAAATGATCTGGATGAAATTAAGGTAGGAAGAACTTTGTCATGCTGGGAAAGTGAGATGAAAAATATTGTACTGGCATTTGCCTGAGTGTTAAAAAGATCATAACAGGTGTATCCAGCAAGAGATGAGGAGAGAAATGAGATTACAAACTTGAAAAGGAGTTTGTCAAAATGGTCCTTTTTTACTCAACAGGTTTGCCTCCCTGTCCTTTTGGCTGGTACTGGTTGCTTTTAAACCTTAGTCCTCTGTGCAGCACTGCCAGGATGACCTTGATCTTATAAAATTGGTATGCTGACAGACTGCTGCTTTAGCGTTTTTCAGTGGAACTCTGTATGGGTATATTGGCATGGATCCAATAGTAGGGTTGGGCCAAATGGGATGAGCTGGATTTTTTTATTCAGACACACCTGTGCCAACCTCACTGAGAACAGCAGGAGTTGCCCAGAGGGACCTGAAATTTGACTGGTGAGGGCATTGTTGTATTTGGCAAGCCAGAGGAGGTCTTCTGTTATTGGTGGTAGTGCTCAAGAAAGGACAAAAACCCCAAAAGCTAGAGCCTGACTGGACCTAGGTTAAACTTTCAGGGTTGGACATTTGGAAAAAAACTGTCTCCCTGAAAGCACCCAACAAAGAACCTTCCATACAGCTCATCAGGACACAAATGAAGACGACTTCCACCTGTACTGTTTTTTCTGAAGCTGGGGGGAAGGGTGGCTGTATTTTGATTAACCTGCTGAAGTTACAGCATGTTAACTGTCTAGAAAAGACAGAAATAGTATCTAGACCACTCAGTTGAGAAGACTTTTAAAAGCATGTGGCAGGGGAGAGCAGGGGCACAGGACAAGGACACTGAATTCCCACCCTGCTTTTCTTTAATATTCTCCCATAAAATGAATTGTCATAATCTCCTATTTGCTGTACTGTTTAATTGAAAGTTTCTGTTCTCAAGATTACAGCAGTGGGTGTCATTTTTTTTTTTTTCCCCACTCCTGGGTTTAATAATCGTTCTGCCTGTGTAATGCTGCCTCAAAGACTTTCACTGTAACTTTCATGCAGACACCGTATGTCTCTTAGCTAAACAGAAGGCTGTTACACATTCTATAATGTGACTTTTTAGGGTAGGTACTTCATGCATACATTTCATTTCTTAGTACAAATGTGATAAATCTCACCTTTACTGTTCTGTAGAGCTTCATTGCAGCTGAAGTACTGAAGTTGTTCAGCCTGAGGAAGGAGCCTAATCACAAAACAGACTGGCAGAAGATGATGAAATTTGGGCGGAAAAAACGAGACCGAGTGGATCATATACTGGTCAGTGGATGAAAAGCAATCATGTCAGATACTGTCCACCAGACTCAAGTGTGACACATGATCATATTTTTCAGTATTCAGTCATGCTGTTTAAAGAATACAAAGTGTGCATGAGGTCTTGATAGAAGGTGTTTAATTTTAGAGAGCACCTTATTGACAAAAACAGAAGTCCAGTGCCAGTGAAGTAAGGTGACTTGAGTGAATTCTCTGTTCATGCCTACTGATTTGACTGGAGTATAAATTTGGCCACTCCCAAAAGTTTAAAGCATGAATTTACAGGAGGAGACACTGAAATATTTGACTGAGAAGAGAGTAAACATTTTCTTTGGGAAGGGAATATGTTTTCCTTCTTACTTTACTTCAAAATGTTTTTATATTGAAGTAATATTGTTTAATTGGAGACAGTGATACTGAGAACTTAATAGACCACATTGCTAACCAGATTCAACTGAAAGATTGCAAAAGTTATTGGGTTAGAAGAGCAGACTTCAAAGAGACAGTATGGGACATGATAGTACCTAGTACAAGGTAACCAGTCTGACAGATAGTACCCACAGCTAAGCGTTTCCTCTAGTACTTGACATGAACCAGTGAACGCAGCTGCCAGCGGGGCAGAGACAGTTCAGTGTTAAAACTGCATGAGATAGAGCATGTCTGGCTGTGTACTAGTTTTTGAAAGTTACTTGTTGGCTTGTATTGCAGGATGATTAACATCTTTATTGGCTATAATGATAGTGAAGGTTCTGCTTGGGAATATGAGTCGTCATTAACACCATGCTTCACTTAATTATACCTGAAATTGATTCCACACACGCACACATATAAGTAACTTCAAGTCATGGGTCGTGTGGTCTCTTAATTGCACATCAGTGGAAGGTTTCCAACACAGGCTTTTTCCCCGGGGTTTAATTGTATGTAAATAGAGTATCTATGTATTGGACCTGCATATCCTAATACACTTGATTCTGGGATACGCTTGATTCTGGGTTGTGGAGGCTGTTAAAGCCTGCACAAAGAAGTCTTATGTTTAGATTCCTGAGAGAACTAATAGTACACTATTATGCTTCTGTACCAGTTTCCTAATTTCTTTGAACCATACCTGGAAAGAAGGATTCCTGACTGGAAAAAATTGCTCTAGTTGAAGGCATCCAAAGTGCTTTAGGTGGAATAAGTTTGAAGTTCAGACAATTGGGTCTGCGATTTACATGCAGACCCAGACATTAAAGATTAATGGAGCTCTGACAAGTTTGGCTTAATAAATAATGTGTTTAATTTTATTTTGTTCTCACAAGAATGTGGTAATAAAATTTTAGCTGAAGTCTGGGAATAACTCTGTGAAGGTTGCAGCATGGCATGCCAGGCTTTAGAAATAAGGCAGTCTCAGTGGCATTGCTAACAAACTTGTACTGTAATGTGAGACACTATCAGAGAAACTTCTAACTGAAAACCTAAGGACATAGTGCTCATTTTCTCTTACCTTGTTTTATTAAAATCTCTATAAAACATGAGGTATCTGGATAGCTTTCTCTGTCTCCTAGTCAGCCTCCAACTTCTGCTTAAGGTCATGAGTTCTGTGATAACACAAATCCAAGGTCATAAGTGGATATACAGGTCTGTGCAGTATCTGCTGCCTATCTGCTAGTAACTCATGGTGTAGCTGTAAACGGAGAGGTCAGTTTTGGAGTTTTCCAAATTTTTTTTTAAGTATATTCAAGTAGTACAACACAGCAATTTCCTGAAAGAGAAATCAAAGACTTTTTTGGTAGGTTTAGGTGCTGTAGAAGCTTCTTTAGAAAATCACAATTGAAAATGCTTTCTTCAAGTTTTTGTGAAGATTTAGCCAATATATGCCTCTTGCAATGTGCAGGGGATGTCATGTGAGTACATATATAAGCTGATTGATTCTCCACATTCTTTTCCTGCTTATAAAGACAAAGGCTGTTAAAATAAAACATGATCTTTCTAAAGCAGAGGTAAACGTTCTTAGGCTTCTGTTATTTGCATTTAGATATTGAGCACAGGTCCTTCCCGGTTTCTTCATTTCCCCTTCAAGTAAACCTAACCTTCAAATGAGTTTTCTACTGAGACAACTATGTATTTTTAGTGACTTTGATGAGAAGATGAAACACATCAGACCCAGGAGCTAGGTATGACTAGGGTAGGGGTTTTGGTAAAGAGGAAGCGGAGTCTGTTGTATACCTTCTCCAGCATATTGGCAATGACTGTCAAATAGTGACATTGTCTGCCTGGATGGCTGAGTGGCTCTTAAAATGAGGAGCCATGGCTGTTTGCTGAATCTCCTTTTGTTTCTTCTGAAGGCATAGAGCAAGTGCCAGGCTATTCTGCCCAGCTTAATCTCTCCCTGATTATCCCTGGATGTGTCTTTGTGTTTATCATACTAAACCCAATTGCCAGTGGTTCTTGTCTCCACCAAAGGTCAGCCTTGTGGGGAAAGGAGAAAGGACACAGTAATAGAAGCACTCTGCACTGTGCTGGTGCTCTCTGTGATGCTGGGTCCTGTGGGTGACTGCAGTCAGCCATCACACCCACTAGAAATTAAGGGGAGAACAAGATGGATTAGTCCTTCACCTCCTTGCTCTGCCTTGATCTTTGCTGCTTCCCCCAGTCGCTGCATCTTTAGTTGCATTTTCACTCTCATCTTCTCTTTTCCAGCATTGACACCAACATAGTTAGCCATGTTTTTCTGCCAGTGACAAAAACTCCACCTTCCTCTTCTCCTTTTTTGCAGTACTGTTAACTTTGATCAAGCATCTCTGTCCTCAGAAAGCATTTGTAATGGGATTTCTTATGACTTCTCTGGTCTGCTGGATAGTTGCTCCAGTTGTTAACAATTACAGCAAAACTTGGCTTTCAGTAAACAAGTATGGGAGGTTCACATTTATGAAAAGCTACTTTGTTTAAAATCAAGCTAAAGGAATGTTTAGGTGCTTACTTTCTTATTCTCATGTCCCTTTGTGCTGCCACCTTTATCACATGTATGCTGTCTGTGCTTTGTGGGAGATTCTCAAATGTACACATAGGCTGAGGAGCTGCATTTTGGTACATCAGGGCTGCCTGTGCATTTCAAAACCTTTTTCTAAACTACAGCAAGAACCCTCATATCTCTTTATTTGAAGTTCAGGTGCTAAGAATAGACTGTTTCCACCCCTTTTTTTCCACTTGGGTCTTCAGCCAAAACTCCCTGTTTTGCTGATCTGTTTGCATGAGGCCAGAACGAAGTTTCTAAGCCATTGCTTTCCCTGCCACCCCCCTTTCCGTTTTATCTGGAGCTTGAGAAAGCAAAGCTCACCTGATACTGCCAAACCTACGTGTTTAGTTTTCACACCTGAGAAGCCTGCCAACAGAGTGCTGAAAAGTACTTGATCTTCTGACCTGTTGACTTAATGGCTAGAATGTTTCTCTCCATGCAGAAATTCTGCAACAAAGCAAAGCTGTTCCTATCAAGCTGGCTTTATCAGAAAGCCCACTTCTGCGGCACTCGAGATCTAAACCCAAGGCGAGTGCAACAGTAAGAAGAGAATCAAAGCCTGCTTGTATGCACAGTTGTGTGTCTTAAGATTTCCAGGTACACTTGAGAGCGAAGGGCTGTAAGAATGCACCTGCCTGCCTTCCTCCTACTGAAATTCTTCCAAAGCACTAGTTTGTGGATTTTTATTCTTTTCAGTCTCCAAATGATCTAGTGACTCCTTAAGTGTAGTTTATTTTGCAGATATTCATGGTTTTGAATGGGAACCTCCAGAAATCAAAACTTACTAACTTACTCTCTGAAGTTTCCTTCAGATTATATTAAGTGTTGTTTTTGGGTACTGTGACATTTATTAGATGGCCAACAGGATCACGCTACCTTGTTACCTCCTGATTTTTCTTTTGTGTGCATGCCTCCTTCTTTCTTTCTGTGTTTAAAAAAAAAAAAAAAAAAAACATTCAAACAAAAAAAAGTGCACAGAAAAAACCATACTACCCAGCCTTCTGCATAGTGTCACTGTTTATCTTTTCCTGTAGGATGGAATTCAGTTTCATTAAAAATGTTGTTCTGACATTGCCCAGCTGCGGTTTCTCTCTGGTATAGAGAACTTACTTCCTGGTATATATGAAGTTTTACTTTTGTCATGAGAATGTGCAAGAACTTAAATGCTGTGCATGTACTGAAGACAATGCAAAGCCCATTTCCATGAAAGACACGATGGTCACCAAATGTAAGCAAACTGTCTTCATTGCTTAGAACCCGTTTGTGGTAATACAACAAATGGATCAAACCTTTCCCAGGCAAAGATGTCACAACTGCCTTGGCTCAGATGTCTGCAGCTATGGCTGCAAAGCAGCATGGCACTTTCCACATGTGTTCTGAATACACTATAAACAAGACTTGCCTGCAGCTGTGAATTGCACATTCTCTTAGTTTTCCAAAAGTATGCTCGAGGAAGTCGTCCTAATGCCAAAGGAAATTGTGCACTGTGCCTCTGAGAAAGGGGGGAATGATAGAGGCAAGAGGAAAATTAATCACTGATACTGTTTTTCTTTCTTCGTCTTTCCACTGCTCTTTAATATCCAGCCTTTCTCTGCCTGGATCAAGTTACCCTATCCTCTCCCCTTTACTGGCATTTCTTTATCCTATGTGTATCTTTTTCCTCCTGGAGCACAGTAAAGGAACTGTCCCATCATGTTGTTGCAGGTCAGACAGAATAAACGGCAGCTTAGTTTGGATCTGGATATTGGGGTTTGTTTAAAGGCCAAGGAGATCAGAGCTTTTAACCTGCTTAATTATTTTACTCGCTTGCTTACCCCACCCTCGGTGTTGCATTCACCAGGTCTCGACTTCGCTTCCCAGCAGGGAGGTTGCTGCTGGCCTGGGAGGGTCAGGCAGAAAATCGCATCAGTTGGTATTGTGCAGCTGCTCCTGGTTACCAATCTTGGACATCTTTGGTCAAGGTCCCTGGGCATCCCCCAGCATTTGTCTCCACCCACCTCCTTCATCTCCAGTATCTTCCCCCATTTCCAGGATCTTTCTTCCAGCCAGGATCTTCACCTTCTCCCCTTGGACCTCCTGTTTTCTCTCCCAGACCACTTCTGCTTTTTGGGAACCCTTCTTTTTGGCACCACCTCTTCTTTTTGTGAACCTTATCTCTTGCTTTTCCTCATCTAAATAGCCTGTGATGCAGACACACAGCACATGGTCAGCCTCCAAATTGGTGCTTCTATCATATGCCTCTTTATTGATGGGAAGACTTGTGACATGCTGCTGTTGTTTAGTCCAGGGTTTATCAGAATTTACAACCAGCACATACTGGTTGCAGGCAGCACGCTTCTGCTTGAGAGTTCAGAAGCCTGTTTCAGACATTCACCCCCCGACAAATTTACACCCAATTATCTGCCACTTGTTAGCATTCAATTTAAATTATTTTTCACCTTGCTGGGGTAGTGCAGAGATTTGTAAGCATGTAGCATGACTCTTCCAAAGCTGTTTGCAGGATGTGATCCCTGCCCCTGTCCCTGAGCTCTCTTAGGGAGAAAGGAGCTGTCAGACTGAAACCCCATGTATAACTGAAGCCTTATGCATGGCTACAAATGCTGAAGCAGTGCTGGTTCCCTGGGGTTCCCATAGCAGCCCATTCTTGGGCTTCATACTGTGTTTTGGTTATTGAATCATCATTATGCTATAGCAGCTGTCACCTTCAAAACGGACATGTTTCTGGGTGGTTTAGCTTCAGACAAAAGATGGAGAGAGGGTGTTGGGGCTGTAGCTCTTGTACCCTCTTTAGATAATGACACTATTACATAATGATATGTGGATTTTCAGTATGTTTTAACCTTGTTTTGGCAGCATGTAGGTGTCTGGCCCACTTGTCTGTGTGGACAGTGTAAATGTATTTTGAGTTCAGAGTGTAGGATTTACAGTCAGGGGAGCTTTCTGCTGAAGCTGAGCAGAGAAAGAGCTTTCAGCAGGTTTTCTTTGTCATTTTTAATATGAGTGATGTTTGCATCCACTCTTTCTTATCTCAAAAGTTTGAGTTTGTTAGGATTTATCTGTAATACTGAAGTGGTCACTTAGACAAATTTTTAATAAATTTAAATTGGAGAAATCCACTTTGAGGAGACTCTCAATAAGACTTGATTTGCTGAATGAAATTATATATTTCTGTCTGTTACTAAAACACCTATTTGCTAGTGACCAGTAAAACAGGATTTTGCTTGTCAACCATTTAGGAATAGAAGGAAATAAATACACTTTGAGTTACTCTTTTAGATGTAATGGTACAAAATTCCATTTGTAATAATGAAGCATGGAGTATTTTGTGCAAATGAATTGCAATACTATCATACAACACGTGCCAGCATTTTGTCTTCCTGTACAGGAAAAGTTAGTTATTTCCTTTAGGTTTTCTAATTGTTATTCGAATAAACTGAACTGCAGTAAAGCGTTTTCTTTTTCTCCTTCCCCTGTTCAAGGCCTTTGCATGATTTCCTACCAGTTTAAGCTGCATGGAATCAGCTTCTTGCAAATACACAATTAGGGACTTTTTTAATGGAGCTTCTGCTGTTGGCCAAGAATATCCCATTAGCTGAGTTCCTTCAAGTGAAAAACTTGTGCAGGAATATGAAATCCTTTAAAATGGATACTACAGTGAAAGGTAGAATACAGTCATACAGTGAAATAGCCTGGTTCAAATAGATCTGTGTTCATTTTGCTATTCCAAGCGTTTCCTGTAATCTCTTACAAAGACAGATATGTTGTTGGCAGATGTGCACTATTTGGGACTCTTTCTGGAACTTTGCAGGGGATATTATCCTAGAGCAACAGAATTGTAATGTTTGTATTGCCTTTTCCTTTCTACCCTCCAAGGTGCAGGAACTTCATGAGGAAGAAGCACAGTGGGTGAACTATGACGAGGATGAACTGTGTGTAAAGATGCAGTTGGCAGATGGGATCTTCGAGGCCTTAATCAGAGACACTGTTGATGTACTGAACCAGATAAATGAGAAACAGCGGAGATTGCTGCTTGTCTGACAGTGCTGAAAATAAACTTACAGCTACGTAACCACTGAGTCACGGGTCTTTCTGACTCCTGACGTGCTCTCCACCCTGCAAGTGCTGCTGCTGGACTTCCATGCGTGGGGCTTAAAGGCAGTTCAGATGTGATTAAAGGAACCTGAATTTGCATCCGCTGCCACTAGAGACCTTGCACCAGATTTATTGTTTGGAACAAGCTGATCCCTCACTCGAGGCTGCATTGTGAAGCGCTCAAGACTGTTCGTGTGCCAATGCAGTTATGCCACATAACTGTCAGCAGCTGTCTGGGGCTCCGGCCTGGGGCTTTGACATGGTCAGCTTGTTCTCTGAAAGGGTTGGGTTAAGTTGGGATATTGGCTGTTTTGCTGGAATGGCTGTCAGCCATCAGTACTCATCTTGTCTTTAGAAATGTGAGTAACTTGGAGAAGAAACGGTTTGATCAGGTTTTAGTCATAAATGGAGACTTACCGTACTGAACAGTGTTATAATCTTAACACACCTTCTCCTGCAGCCCTAACAATGTGCATCAGTTTCTTCTGCTCCAGAGCCCATTTAATTCCCTTCTCTGTGAAGTTGGTTTTCATCTTTCTTCTGTGATGTGGTACCAAGTATGGTGCCAGCTAGTCCAGGGAAATTAGATGATGTTGCTTTCTGTATTCAAGTAAAGAATTCTTGCTGCTTTTCCTACGTAGCTTGCTTCAGTCCTGAGGTGGAGCAAGATAAAGGCCGCCTAACGTCAAGTGTGAAAGATGAGCCCGTGGACAACTTTCTTCCTACCATGTAGCACTTCTCTTCCTGGAGCACCAGCTGCTCCCAGATAATGGATACTCAGGATTTTCTCAGGCACGAGACATGCAGGAGTGGAAAACATTTCCTCACAAAAATTTGGCCTTCAATCCCTCAGCTTCTTCCCTTACTGTCACCTAATAAATCAGAGAAGCTGTTACTTGAAAAATTTAGAGAACAGAGTGTATTCACCAAAGAAAGCGGTGTCCAGTGCTTGACTGTCTGCATGTTTTGTGCTTGTGGGTTTTTTATTTATTTTCAGATAATTTATTAAGTGGGTTATAGGAGAGTGTCCTGTGCAGTTGGCTGCACTGTCTTATGTTTTGGGACAGCCGAACTTGAGAAAGCATCTGTTCTGGAAACTTTCAGAGCCCTGTATTCTTCACACAAAACCTCCAGCTTTTCAAGGCAGATACAGGGAGGGGAAGGTATGAAGAACCAAACCACAGTGACCAGGGGTGGGATGCGAAGGCAGGACTAGGAATGGCGCTTCACCACACTTGGTTCAGAAACAATGGAGAGTTGAGGGGGCTGAGCTGAAAAATGATGTGAAAATTCTCTGCTCCATCTGTTTCCTTTCTTTCACAGAACTTCTAGGCCATCAGCAGCTGTTACATGGTTGATTTGGTGCTGGGTTCAACTGCAGTGTCCTTCTGCTGAGTGCTTGTTCCTAACCTGTCCCTCCCATTCTTGTGTTTTCCTTGGAGGAACACAATCTGGGGTCAAACATTGATGCCTTAATAGTGGATGTCCCTGTTTGCTAACCTGGGACAAGACCCAGAGGAGAGCCAGATTCTTCAGACACACTGGAGTGCAGAAAGACACTTTGAAGCCCTCAGAGGTGCCCCAGAGATGCTGCAGCCCACAATAGGTGTGGCAGGGAGATCTGGACAATTTCATTCATCTGCTTGGTTCTTGGGCTTCCTGCTATATGTACCTCTGCTACTGCTCCATTCTGTTTTCTCTTTTCCACCTTTTTTTTTTTTTTGAAAGCTATCATTGGAATATTTGCATTTTGCACAATGACACATAGCTGGTAATTCTTCAGGGACAGCACTGGGAAACGTTGGATTTGTCAGAGGTCCATGTAGATTCTCAGATGTAGTATTGCCAGCACATCACTTGTGAGTTAATGGTGAGCCATATTCATGGGAGCTTAATGAGCAGAAGAACAAGGAGGAGGTAATGGTGTCTAGGAACACCTCCAATGGGCATATGCATGTCTGTCCTGCAGTAGTGGCCCTTCTGGCTGGCTGGAAGTCAAATGGTCTTGGTGGAACATTGTTCAGCATTTTTTCCTAAGTGATTCACTTATCCACGTAAAATGTTATGATGCTGAACCAGGAAACTCTTGAATGCTTAAGATAGAAGCAAACTAAAGCTGCTACATTTAACCAGCATGGTGTCACTGATTGGGTCACCACCTCAGATTCCCTTTCCTGGGTGTACCTTTTTCAATAGCAAGGATTGCGATTTTTGTGGGTAGCAATTACGGAAAGAAGGCAGAAACCTGCAGCATAGGTTTGTAGCTGGAGTATCAGAGAAACAAAGTTAGTTTCTGTTCTGTAGATAGCGTGGTCAGTGTTGAGTAGGTCGCCCTGCATCCCCGAGGCTTTTCGGCTGTTCTGCGGGGCTGGCAGGGCTTTTCTGGTTTGTCCACCATCAGGAAGAAGGTTGTACAGTTGGCCTGCCAGGGTAACAGGGACCATTGGAGATTGTATGCCTGTTGTCTTGCTGGCTTGGATAGTGCTAGTTTGGTACCCTCAACAGAAGTAGTAACTATTTTTACAGCTGTTTGGGCAGAAGGAAGCTGTGTCTAAGTAATGGCTTTATTCCTTTGCAAACATCACCGTTTATTTTTGGTAGCAGTCCTTGCTAGGAGCAACCCTAAAAAGACTTGAACGTACATGAATTATCTTCTCAATACCTCAAGTGTGTTGAGTTGCTTTGAGTTGAGTGTATGCTCAAAACCTCGAGTGTGTTGAGTACTTGTGGGCTGATGATTACCGTGGTGAAGTAGTGGTCTGTCTGGGTCGCAGCTGGTAACGAGGAGGTATGGGGAAGCCTGGAGTCACACAAACAGGCTGAATTCTCTATTTCTGTCTTCTCCCCAACCTTCCCTTTGTAAGAACAAGATGGTATTTCTGGGTCCTTGTTATCTTGGTGCAACCACGCTAGAAGATTCAAGGCTGAGATGGTTTTTTTTGAGACCCATGAGCTGTTCGGGGCAGTGGCTGTCATCACTGGGGAGATGTGGTTCCCTCTTTGGAAGGATCTTGATGCCAGATGGGAAAGCCCAGGCTTGAGAGGACAAGCAGCGCGAGTACCTCTCTCACAGCAGGATGCTTCCTGAGCCATGCTGTGGAATATCAGTACTTCTGCCTTTCAGAAAAGGCTTGTTGCTCACAAGGTGGAATGAGGGATTGAAAAAATCCCATCTTGTTCACTTTCCTTTCTTGAAAAAGTGGCCTTAGCTTTTTGCAATACTTGAATAAGTGTGTACCTGCAGAAGATCTTCAGTAGCACAGTGATAGAGACCTTTTAAGTGACTATTCTGTGAGGAACTGCATGCAGTTCTGACTTTAATAATCCCTTTGCTACATTAAGAACATTAGGAAAATAAAGTACTTTTCAGCAGAGAAACAGTTGAATCTTATAAGGTATTTAGTGCATCTGAAGTGTTTACAAATCAACTAAAATGGAGAAAAGCAAACTATTGAACTTATTTGTAATTTAAACGTTAAATGCAAAATTATATACAGATGAAAGAGGAATACTGTAATTAACCTGCATTTACTAGTTTTTTCCTTGACTTTGCAGAGCCTTTTGATATACATTTGCAAAGCCGCCTTTTGGGAGGCTCCGTCTCCCTGTGTACTGTGTTGTGGAGATGCTGAAAAGAAACCCGTTTACTGTGTATGTGTAAATAACCTGGTAACTTGGTTTTTGGGCCAGTTTCAGCTAATGTTCACATCCAGAGCAGCTTTGCACAGTAGACAGACCCAAGGATGTGGAGGGTTGTTTTGGGTTGGGTTTTTTTTTTTTTGGTTTTTTTTTTTTTGTAATTAAGAACTGTAAAATAACCAGGGAGGTCCCTGTGTACACCAGTGTAAATATCTTTGGTAACTGAAATGTACTTTAAGAGAACAAAATCTGTAAATAAACTGATTTATAAATTAATCTTGTTTCCTGGTTCTGTATAAAATGGAGCTTTATAATTACCCAAATGGTTGCTAATTCTGAAGGTGTCCTGGAGATTCGTCCCTTGTATGTTCCCCTTTCTGTCTGATGCTGTACTTGGGATGCCAATCACAGTCCACAAAATCCCATTAGAGTTGCCTTAATTATAATTATAACATTATTAGAATTTCCTTATTGTTAAAGCCAAATGTTGATAAAAGCAAAAACAGAAAATAGCATTGCCTAATCATTGCTGGAGTGCACAGCGTGATCTGTGGGAGAAAAATTACTCCTTGCACATGTTTGTTTAAAATAGGTTTTAAAAACTCATGCTTTAAAACATTGGGGGGGGGGGAAGCTATTTTTATGCTAAACAACAATCTTGGAATTAAATTCTTCAGAGCCTCAGTCTTGTTTTGGATCCCTCAATTAGGCTCCTAAATTGTTACAGCTCTATAGAGCTGCTGTTACCAACACTGATCACTTCTTCACCAAGGGGGCAAACATTGCTTCCCTGGAAACTTTATGTATTGGTGGAACTTTCCTAAATCTTTGCTGTTTCCTTTCCAGCAAAAAAAACCCAAACAACCCCACTTTAACATATGAAAGGTCCTGGAGCTCTGTAAGAAGACAGCTGAACACTTGCAGTGCCAAACCACAGGCATGCAAGCATGTGGCAAACAAGTGGCAGTGTGAAATGTGTTAAGACCAAGCGTGCTTATTGAGCCTCCTCAGTCCCTACAGCTGCTGCTGCTCCTGTACCTCTGCTGTGTTTTGGTGCCATTTATTAACATACAGACCAGCAGAAAAGGCTTTGCTTTCCATTTACTACAGATGTCTACAAAACCCAGCAGTGGTCTTTCTGGCTTGGAGGATGCTGTGTGGCAGTCTACTCACCGCTCCTCTCTGCCTGGGAGAGGCGTATGCATTAAACAGGGTGGGGGGATCTTTGTGAACAAAACCATTGCAAAGGCATTGCTCTGTGCTGAGCGGTTATTTGCTCTTTGTTTTTCCTTAGCAGAGGTATCTCATCCAGGAGGAGGACTTGCTGCACTCAGACTTTCATTATGGAAGCAGCTTTGCTGCAGTCGCGCAGTGCCAGCGTGCAGTAGAAGTAGTCCTCAATGGAGTGTGCCAGGAACACTGTCCACAGCCCTTGTACAGACGGAGAAGCACATCGTGGCCCTCTGAGCTCGGGGGGTTGAACCGGCCAAAGCGTGGCGGTGGGTTGTTTGATGTCCAAAGGACCGAGACAAAGTGGTGCTGCAGCCTCTGTGCTCTCATTATCGAGCAGTGGGAGAGCATCCGTGTTGCTGCTTTCTTCGCCCTGCAGTGATTTTGCTCCACGAGTCCTGTATTTTCGGACAGTGATCTACTTGCAGCCGTCAGCATCCATCCCTGGAGTGGCTTAGAGTGCATTTCACATTGAAAAAAAAAATTAATCTGTGCTTCTCTGGCTAAAGAACTGGCTTCCCTTTAAAACGGCTCGAGCGATGGGAACGCTGCCACGGTGCTCTGGCGGGTGACACAGCAAAATGCTGTATTGCTACTGCTGTCCTTGCCCAGGATGCCCGGTAATCAGCTTGATGAAGGCTCTAATTTCCTCATTTGCAAGTCTATGTTGCTTCACTTTGGCACTGACTTTCTATGGTGGTGTTTGTGCAACTCTTCCCAGAACCCTCGGAACGCAGTTGCCTTTGACAGCCATTTCACCCGTGGACCTGGTGAAACTGCTGGGTTGGGCAATGGCAGGCAGCCGCCCTCCTGACAGCACGTTGGATTGAGGGGGACTGTTTTGGTGCCACCCGCTCCCAGGTGCCTCCCCGGGGAGGTGGTGCCAGCTGCAGCCATCCCATGTCCTAAAATGCCTGGCGAGCACTGGAGCACTTGAAATGTTGACTCTGCTCCAGACATCTCTGCACCCTGCCTAGCACAAGGCATTCTGCAATGTCTGGGCTGTCATTAACACGGCCTCAGAAGAAAAGGAGCTGGTGGGGAGCTGCTGAACGCCGGCAGCTCTCTTCAGTGAGCAGGAAGGAGAGGAGGGGGGCTGCCCAGCTGCTGGCACCCAGCCTGGAGCACGGGCCATTGGCGGGCAGGAATGCAGATAAGACTTAATGGAGTTTGAAAGCATAGGATGGTCTCTGGGATGGAGGTCCTGTGGGGGAGGGAAAGGCACCTTGCGAGGTCTGGAAACTGGAGCAAACAAAACCCATAGCCCCAGCCCTGTGCCCTTTCTGCCTCTTCCCCAGTAAGATCTGGCAGAAATTTGGGGGAAAGGAGGAGAATAGAGCTGTTGGGGGGCAATAGCTCCATTCAGGAGGCTGAGGGTTGGGCAGGAACGGGACATAGAGGGGAGATGTTTGTGGCAAGATGCCTTCTTTTGCCTGCCAAGTGTGCTGTGTGAGGATGGCCTGGAGTCGGTCTGGTTGGTTCCTGCTCTGAATGTTTCTCTTGGCCCCAGTTTTCCAGCCCTTTGCTCTAGCTGTGCAAGACCTGCTGTGTCCCTTGGGCTGCATTCCCTCCCTGATGTTGGTTTCAGGTGGCTTCCTCTTGCAGGTGGACTTGTCTGTCACTGACCCGTGAAACCTAGGCTGACTTGAACTAGGGTTTTGTCTGTGAGTTTGCTGGAAGTGGAAATAACACCAGTTCTGGGGAGTGTCCCAGAGATGTATTCACTTTTATTCCAGCAAAATAAAGGAGGCTGCAGGGGATCCTACCGTTCATGTTGCTTGGCTCAAGGAGCTCAGCAAGGAGCCTGTTCCAGTGTCCGTCTCCTGCTGTGTTGCTCCACGGAGGTGATGGAGCCAGTGCTGCTCAGTGAACCTGTGATTTGGCACACCAGTCCTCGGTAGGTGACGCCTTGCTTACGTTGCAGGACTACTGCCATGGCAAGAGAGGAGTGCTCCGTTGTCATCTGTGTGGTATTCTCAGTTTCATGCGCTGCAATTAAACCAGCTGCTAAATAATGATGTGGCAAATCTGGGCGGTGTGGCCTCCTCCGATCTGCTCCTGGAAGCTGGGCAGATGAGCTGGAGTGGAAAACATCTGCTCTGTGCATCCTGGGTCATGGTGATGATTTATGACTTTAAGTAGATCTTAAATTTGCAGGTAAAACGTTTCCTACCCAGACATACCAAAGACAACACCAGTTCTTCCCGGTCCCCCCAGGTCCCACTGAAAAGAGTAAGCGCAGCATCGCTGCTGTCCTTTTGAGCAGGGATGAATCAGCAGCAGGTGAACAGTAGAAAGGGGCTGGTACTGCTGTAGTCTCTCTGCAGACAAACTATGTGAACGCATTCATCACGTCCTGAGAATGCACCCCGGATTTTCTTTTACGTCTATTGTTATTACAGGCTGGTTGGGCTTGAAACGTAGAAATCAACTGTATCCGACCAAGCCTGTCTTGTGTAGTCGGCAATTCCCAGCTACCAGTGGGGGTTACAAGGGGCTCTCCTAGCCTTCATAGGTGTGAGCCCGGCAGAGCTGATGCAGGGTGTGGGAAGCAGCTGGGGTTCACATCTACCCTGTGCGTTATTCCCTGTCTCAGCAAAGCCGCGGAAGCTGGCAGGTTTATCGCGCAGGCGCTGCCAAAGGTCTTATCTGCCAAGACATGGTTTCAAATGTGTGACTGGTGCCACCAGTGGAAAAGTGCCACCTGGATTGGAGTGTCCCAGCTGACTTCAGCTGGCTGGGAAGTGGCAGGTGGCGCAATTTTCACTCGCTCTCCGAGGCTGTTTGGAGATGCTAATCGGGGAAATGAGGCTTTTTCTTTTATTTAGAGAAAAACCACATTTTAAGTGGTGCTGTGCTCCAGATCGAGGAGGGCTTCACTGAGTTCATCAGTCCCATCTTGTGAAGGCTGGAGAGAGAGGGAAAACTGTCGAGCCTCCTCTGCAACTGGTATTTCTGAGGCTCTTGCGGGAGAGTTGGATGCAAACTTCTCCAAACAGCCTCCGAAATGTCAGGGCCGGGTGATGGGGTTGCCATGATTGTATCATGAGTCTTGCATTGGTTGCGTGTTATTCTTGGAGTCAGTTCCTGGAATCACACAATTAGGTAAGAATGTGTTCTTTAATTTTCAAGGAAGAAAGTCCATTTCAGGATCTCCCTGTCCCTGAACCTTCACAACTACAGGGAACTGAGAAGGTCCTGGGTCAGCTTACCTGGCCATTTTGAGCTGCTGGTGTTTTGCAGCCAGGTTCATGCTTTTAAAAATGGACAGTAAAAGTCTTTCTCCATTTTCTGAAACATAGTCCTTTCCAGTACTTCAGGGGCTGAATACATAAAACCCCAACTGCTCTTTCCTCGTCTCCTCTCTGACCCAGCACAGAGGCAATCAGGGTAGCTCTTTGTGTCTGTGAAAATGATCCATTTTGGGTGCACGAAACAAGTTCTGCAGGGCTTAAATGATTTTGGTGAGATCTTAGCAGCCTTTGAGGCTCTCAGCCTGTTGGTGTTGCCTGCGCCTCATTGACTTCAAGAAGATTCCTGCTGGCTTTAGTCTGGGAAAGGAAATTTGAGAGCTGGTGAGCTTAATGAACTAAAGCCACTGCTCAGCTGCTGCACAGGGACTTGTGCAGTGCGGGAACCTCTATGGTGGTCCTTAGCCCATGGCCTTGCTACGTAGGAGTGAAGCACATCTTTTCCCAAAGTTAAGGGTGCCAAGGTGGGCGCTGAAGGCTTTGCTGTGCAGTCCAGCTGAAAACCAAGTAGGTTCCTAAATGTGCCAGGAGAGCCTAAAGCTGGGCTTTACGGCTGGCTGGGGGCTCAGCAGCCAGGCATCCAGAGTCACCCAGCACCCACCCCCTGTGCTTTGCTGCCCACAGGCTCTGCTAGCAG